GTCAGTCAGAGATCCATGGATTCATGGTTGTGACATTGAGACAATCACTGTACATATACTTTATGGCTGAACCTAATTTACTCTCAGTAAAAATACTGCTTTGTTAAATCAAAAACAGATCATAGCCTCACTGAAATCTGACTAAATGTCTCAAATTTACTAACTTTTGCAACTGATTACGTACAAATAATATTTGCTCACCGAAAATCTCCTTTGTTTCACGAACAAGTAAAGAAAGGCTTTTGTCAGAGGCAAATTAGCTGAGGATAAAATCAGTTACATATTGTTTCTGATCTACTATTTCAAAGTTTTTGTTGTGTTTTTGCAGGAATTTAATCCAAACTGCTTGGTGCAAACAGACCAGAGTCTGTGATTTAAGCACTGCTAAAGGTGAAAGCTAAATGCTATGCTAAGCTAACTAAGACAGCCATCCAGATGGCTATTATCGATTCTGTTGTTTACAAAATCATTGTCTTCAGTCATGCTATGGTCAGCTGTAGCAAACTGCTGACACGAATAATATTGTTATTAGCGTAGCTGAAAAATAAACATGGTTCTTCAAGGGAACTTTATCTAAATAGTGTTTTTATCTTCTGCTTTGCACTGCGAACCATCCTATGTTCATGAGAGGTTTTGTTAATCTACATCTTTTCTTAATCTGAAAACCAACTTTCAACTAAAAAACGATATGTGTTAGACTTATTCTAAGTCTGTTTAATAGTATCTTGAGCTTCCTGGTGCAATCTATACATGCCACATTAGGACATCAGCAGACATAAACCATAACCATTGGTGGTGATGACATCATCCTTCCCATAACACTGATCACACAATCACAGAAATGTCCCTCCATCTTGAACACTCCTCAACCATAAAATTGAATCCTGCCTTTGCTTAGCGGTTCACACAGAGAAGAGGTACCAGTGGTGCCGGTCTGAACGCACACTCAGCGATAAATCATATCGACACAAAACAAGATGAGATGATGCAACTGCCAAGCAGACAAGCACTGATCATCAGACCTTAGTCATGTCTTTATGGTAACACCATCATGGTTTACATGGTTTGTGAATGTAGTTTCTGATTTTGCTGTGTTCTATACATCAGTAACCTAAGATTTGAAAATGCAGTCCTCCCCCCTACAAACATAGCAGAGAACTTTAAACCAAAAAGTAAATTCATTACAAATGAATATGCAAAAGTTTCATATTCTGCCAATGTAAAAAAAAAAAAGATTTTGTAATTGCAAACAATTGCAAAATGATCAACAAATGTTGATTATTTGTTTCCAGCAATGGAGGGTGAGCAGTACATGAGAGTGAATGTTACCATACCTTTTGTAGCAGTGGTGCACATTTGCTGCCACATTCTTCATTTTAGAATATCATTCATCTATGCTGCAACCAGAATTTTTACCTTGACTTGCATACCTGCAGTGTCCCCTCCTACCATATATATATATATATATATATATATATATATATATATATATATATATATATATATATATATATATATATATATATATATATATATATATATATATATATATATATATATATATATATACATATATATATATATATATATATATATATATATATATATATATATGTATATGTATATATATATACATACATATATATGTAATATATATGTATGTATATACATATATATATACATATATATATGTATATATATATATATATATATATATACATATATAAATTTTTTGTTTTTTCACTCACTGTATGGCTTCTTGATTGCTTTTAAATAAACTTAATGTATGTGTACTTAAGACCTTCTGTGGAAACACACACTGTCCTGGGAATTCAATTTTCTCCCGCAGATTCATGTGGATTACACTAGAAAAGGTTGGAGGGATGAGAAAATACCATCTGGACCAAGACAGCGGCTCAATTGTCTGGGTTAAAATTCCTGCCTGTTCAAGTTTACTTTTTAAATCGATAAATGGATGAAGCAGCCCAGATTTGAACTTTTCTGGATGGTTTCCAAACTAGCATGCACTAAACTGCAGCTGTAAATCTAGTTGTATTCCTGATTTATAAGAGGAGCCTTTCAAAATACTTAATGTCCTACTTGATGACTAGACTGAATTGCAATAAATTTATCACTGAACTGCCAACATTTGTTCTCAATTGGCCGATGATATGATGATTACTTTCTGTATTCAGTGCAACTGCTTTGTTGGGGAGAATAACTCCAGTTCGACTGTTATGTCCTGTAAGGCAGCTGGTCATGTATCCCAACATTCAGTCTGAGGGAATAACCTTTCCAAACCGTTTCACCCATCATGCAATAAAGAGCAAAATGAGTGAAGAAGAGCCATTTGTTGTTCCAGATGAGCTTTGAAAATAATCAGCATGTCCCCAGTCTGCAGTCTTTGTTATTGTGAAGGAGGAGAGGATTTACTTTTACCTTCCCAAACAGACTAAAATTTGCTGTGAGCCACACAGCTGCTGGTGACTACAGTCAGGCCTCTGCTGTGTTTGCTCAGGCTCAGCTCTCTGTTGACTTTTCTGAAATAAAACCAGAGGAGTCATTTCACTGATCCCTGATCTGATTAATAACTTGAAACTGACATTTTTTTCACTCCATCTGTTCTCGTTTCCATTCTGGATCATATGATGAATTATAAGATCATTTGGAGTTTAATATTCTCACAAATTAAAAGTGTGAAACCTCCTTACATGTTGAACGTGTTTTAATCATAATTGTGTATGTTGTTTGTGTTGAACAATTTGCTTTAGGATACCTTGATTGTTTTGAAACCGGTTGTTATAGCCACTGGACTTTGCTTTTCCGTCACAGTCCTTTTCTTAGCTGAGCTATTCAATGAATAGTATATGATTTGATTTTTACTCTTTATCATTCAATAAGGTTTGAAGCACAGAACATATTGCACTGATTCTTAGTAGAACAAGACGCAGAGCTTTCAGTCATCAGGCTCTTCTGGGTTTTCCTGAGCTAATGTTTAACCTCTGATATACTCCTGTTTTTGTTTTGGGTTTTTTATGTGTTTTTTTTTGTTGTTGTTGTTGTTGTTGTTGTTGTTGTTTTGTTTTGTTTTGGGTTTTTTTGGCATGGTCAATGTTTCATTATCAGAATAAGTTTGAAATTAGAGAAAGATAACTTACAAACAAAAAGCAGTTCACAAATGATTTCACATGGTCACAAAACGGACCTGTATATGTTCTAATGCACATTGAAGAGACTGTCGCTGCAGGTTGGCTCTATGAAGAAAACTCTGATTCAAACATTTCATCTTGCAGAATAGAGGGTCAAATTTAACTTCCTCCTGCAGTTCCAGTGTTGCAGGACTGGAACTGCAGCACTAGAATAGACTGAAGTATTTTCTATTGACTCAAAGTCTTTATGCAAAAGGAAGTGCTGATTGTTCTCCAGCATGTTAAAGAACATCCCACACATGAAAGGTTGTGTTTTAAGCATTCTTAAATACTGAGTCTATGGTAGAACAGAATTAATGTATACACCTGTTGTTGACAATATGCTTTTGGAGTTTTGTTTGGTTTTAGAAAGAGTTCAAGTATATGGATACTGGGTCTAAGTGTAGATTTTTTTCTACATGAACACTTGAGCTTACTGTTTTGTTTTTTGTTTTTTGTTTGTTTGTTAGTTTTTTGTCAACTTATACAACTTCCTGCTATGCCTTTCTCTGCTTTTTCCACCGTCGGATCCAGTCTCAGTAGAGAGCAGCTTATCCAGATAAAGGTGGTGATGATAAAGTGACCTCTGCTGTTGAAGATGTGGTATTACAAGTGATTGCAAGTATTGCAAGGGACTTCAAATGACTGATTAGTGGAGTTTTATTCACCCTTCCAACCATCCACTTACCTTCCATTCTCTATTGTTTGATCTTGGTATTTAAAGTGACGGTGAACATCTTTGCTGCAATAGAAAATAATCGACTCCATTCACTCCCAATTAGAGTTGATTTGAAAGAAAAGGTTTTATTTATTATTATTTTTTATTTTTATTTATTTATTTATTTATTTATTGGACACACGGAAGTTTCTGTAACATATTTTGAATAGAGCTCAGTAATGGGTCCTGATTTTCTTGACTAAAAGAGGTTATTTTTAGACTCCAAAAAAATGTTTGAAAACAAGTTTTAAAGAAATTCAATTTTGGACAAAATTTCAGCCTGGACATTTATGAACCACTCTGAACTTGCTTCTTATGACTCAAAACCGAACCTGCAACAGCAGTTAAGGAATAATCCAGTTGTCAATGTTTGGTAGAGAACATCTTACTGGCACACAGGGCTTCGTCCAAACCTGCCTTGATGTTTGCATATCCACCACTAGGTGGCAGGAGAGACTGGCGGTAAGGCATCGATGAACCGACTGTGGTTCTCAGCATCTGTTCCGAATAGTCGCTTGTCTGAAGTATGTCTGTCTATTATGGCCGACTAATTTAGAAAAATCATTTGGTTTTATGAAGCAAATGTCCCAGCTCAGGTGCTGAGTGGATCAACGTTGCAAATCATTTCAGGGAAAAAGTTTCGGTGTTGTAACTCGTATTAGAAATGTTGTATAATTAATCTAAAACTTTCTGAGTTTTAATTAGAACATTTTTGTTTCGTGCTTTGATGGAAATGCACTTTTCCTTTTATTTTTGTATCTACAATTGCTCCATTTCACACAGTTTTAAAACTGAACCTCCGTTTTTTCTTATTGTGAAGAATCCAAATTATTAACTTTGACTGTGTAATATCACAGATGGTACCCCATGTGACAGTGGCAAGCCGAGTTGTATACCCACCCTTTAACTTTAACCCTTTAAGTTAAAAGGATAACTGGAAGGGTTCTCCCTTTAAGTTCTTACTTTATGAAAGAACCAATCAAGCAATATCGAGTTCTTCAGCCACAACAGACTGAGAGGTATTTCCCTTTAAAAAAAATGAACCGACGTAACGTGACGCAGACGCTTCCGTCCAAAACCCCGTGCGCCTCTCCCGTCCCCTCTTCCTCGCGCCTTATCCATCCATACATCCATACATTCATTCTTCCCTCTGTCCTTCCATCCTCCTGTATCACCCCCTGGACCAGCCCCTCCCTCCTCCGCATCCCTCCGCCGCTGCTCGGCTGGCCTGAGAGTCAAGATCAGCGCTCCATCGGGCGGAGCTCAAATCACAAGAACCGAGGACATGGGAGTGTGAAAAACGGGGAAAAAAATCCGGATGAGACATAAGGAGCACAGGTAAGATCTGCTTAGTGCAGCCGTCAGACCCACTGGTGACTGCGACAGAGGTGTCGTTTTGCGGCGGAAGAGTGAAGACCGTGTTGTGCGTCAAGGACTAAATGTGTTCTAAGGAGAAAACAATACAATAAATGCATGGAGAGATTGTGCAGGGAGTGTGCAGCTCTCGATGGTTAACTCAGCTCTGAGTCAGGCCTGCGGTGCGCTTCCTGCTCTGTTTGTGTTGCTGCAGCTGATGGAAGCTGCGCACTGCGCTCCTGCGCCGCCAGATGTTTTGCTCACGCTGTGCGCCTGATTCAGCTCAACTCCTCACAGCCTTTACGTGCACACTCACTGCACCAAATCTGGAATTCCAACGATTTGTGCATCTCAGTTTCTGTGGAACTGTGAGCGTCCAGGACTTGGTGCCCAGGACTCTGGGTGAGAGTCGTCCATGTTTGTTCGCAGCGGAGTCGTGACAGGTTGCTTTGCGCTGCAGTTTGACCTTGCAGTATTTGTGTTTTGTTTTCTTTTTTGCTTCTTCTTTGTTTTTTCTTTGGTTCTGCCCCAACCTGATAAATGAGAGGGATTTTTACTCTAAGCATATTAAGGCCCAAACTATTTGTCATTCTTTGGTGGTGAAAGGAATAACTATGAAGCAGACTAAGTCAAGGACTGCTTCCTAAATGTGCATGGAGTCAGCAGTCAGACTCAACCACAGGGGTAAGTTAGGATGATTACTCTGCCAAGAATATATCAATAACCTTTATGCAAAATCAAATAATGCATGATGACGTTTTATTTATTGGTTTGCTAGTTTTAATTAGTTATCACTAGTTAAATGAGGTCTTGTTTTAGCTTGTTTTTTATGAGTGATTTTAGTAGTTTGGATTTTTTTCACTTGGAGCTTTTTGAGTCCTGTACCTAAAAATGACCAAAATATTGTATTGTGATTAAATTGACTGGGTAATGAATACGCAACAGAAGATATCGTTTTATGTCTCTGGTATTTTCTCCCAACATTTGCTGTCACTGGTGTTTTATTTTGATTGTTTTAGCTGCATATAATAACCTTGGTTACAGCAAGTTTGAGTCTTGAAGTGCCTGGATTTATTTTAAACCATACCTATTGAAAATGGAACAAATGTTGCCGTTTTGGTCTCCATTCAAACCAAGTCTAACAGACTATCATATGTAAAAACTTCCTAAAAGAAAACTCAAGTTTGAAATTCTTTCTTAACCTCAAATATGAATCTAATTATGTGTCTAAAATGAAGTTCTTTCCTGCATTTGTTTACCTTGTGCAGTAAGATTCCCAATTTTAGAGCAAGTTAGCCTATTAAATAGCAGTGTGAACTGTCCAGAACTGAATTTGCAGAAGTCTGTTCATATCACTCACAGGCATGCTAACACTTAGCATGATGATGACATTATTTGGGAGTGAGCGCTTTGACACTTCAAATAGATCTTCTAGCTGTTTCTTGGATGTGTTTTGGATCTTAAACAGTTGGTTTGATTAAAGGTTTTCTGTCTTTCCAGATGTCACACACAGCTGACTGACAGCTCATAGGAAACTCATTCCGAGCAAGTTTTTGTTTGTTCTTCTGATTCTGTACTCAATCTTTTGGTTTGTTCTTAAATATTGCAACAGTCAGACGCTGTGCTCTAGGGGCCATGCCATATGCACCCTGATCTATTTATAAATCCAAATATAACTTGTTCAGCGACGCAATACATGAGTGAGGAGATGAAAACCAGCCAGACCTCTCCTCTGGTTTTGGTTCCTCTTGTCCTTTGTCCAGCCTGCCTTCCTCATCAGCTACAGACTCCCCCTCTTGTCCCGTTTTCCAGCGTTATCCGTCGGCCGCTGCTCCCCTTCTGCTCACGTTTTACACACGAGTGGAAAACCGACTGTCTCCATGGTGACTTGGCACTGATTGTCACCGCATGGTGCTTGGTAAGATGCACACATGGAGAGAAACCTAATCATTCCATATATATATATTACATAAATGAAAGCAAACAATCAATGTTAAGAAGTAAAATATGTTAGATTACAAAATGTACTCAGAAATTTCAGTTCCTTGTAAATATCCTCAATGTATATTTGATTGTGGGACAAATGAGACTATTTGACACTATGTGCCACAGTCAGTTGGAGTTGTTTGCACTGTTTTTTAATTAGAGTTTGTGCTACTAATCACAAAGTGGAGGAACAGCATTTATTTGAAAGCAAGACCAGCTGCAGCATATCATTCAGAATAACAAGACACCCAACCCTGCACACACTTACACTCTAAGTTACTGTTCTCTTTAAACTGCTCTAATAATCATGTTTTTGGACTATGGAATGAAGCCAGAGTCCCTGGAGAGAACCCAGTCATGCCCTGGGAGAACATGCAATCTCCATGCAGAAAGATCCAGAACCTTCTTGCTGGAAGGCAACTGTGCTACCAGCTGTCCTTTGTGTAGGACAATGGTTCAAAACCTGCACATCTCTACCCGCAGAAATCATGCAGTTAGCATATTAGCAGTAAGTGCAAAGTGTATATTTTATGGTGGGATTGCTGAGATTTCAGCTGCTGATAAATGTACACCTAAGGATTTTTAAAATGTATTTATTTGCGTTGGACAGTTTCCATTATCAAGGCTTGCAAAGTTTTTTTCTTGTGATTTTTTCTTCTGTTTAAAGTTGAGAATGCCAAAACAATTCTGGACTGTTTATGTAAAGACAACACTTTTGAGCTTTACGTCATACCTGGACTATTCCATAGATTTTTCCATGCGTGTTTTTTATTTTATTTTTATTTTTTTATTTTTTTTCCCCCTACAGGGTTTTTTTGGGCTCTAGTGTCCCTTATATGAAAGTAGGCTGACAGGAATGGGGGCAAAGAGAGGGGAGAAGACATGCGGCAAATATCGTCGGGTTCAGGAATCAAACCCATGATGGTCGAGGACTCAAGGCCTCCAAACGGGGGTCACGCTAACCCCTATGCCACCACAGCACACCCTTTTTTTTTTCTTTTTTTTTTTATGCGTGTTTGAGAAACGCATAAAAACTCCACGGAAAACATTCACCTGTGTAAAACGCCAGGGTGGACCGAGCTCCACCTTCCAGACAAAGCTCTTCCTTGGAGCTGCAGTTTCCAAGCTTTGCAGCTTCCACATTACAGAGCAGCCCTCCCCTAAGACTCCCACTCTCTGCTCCTTCAGACTAGCCAGCAACAATTAGCAAACACCTGGTGGAACTGCTGTTCTCATTATAGGAGCTTCTTCTCAGTGGTAAAAATTCTGTAAAAGGGTCAATAGAGGAGCCATGTTGTGACAACTTCCTGAAGGTGGAGTTTCAGAAAGAGCAGGAGTTTTTAAAGAGACATAGGCCCAATTTCAAGGCGTTAAAACACAAAGTCAAATTTCTTTCTCTCTCTCTCTCTCTCTCTCTCTCTCTCTCTCTATATATATATATATATATATATATATATACATATATATATATATATATATATATATATATATATATATATATATATATATATATATATATATATATATATATATATATATATATATATATATATATATATACATACAGCCTTCTTATAACACCTGATAACAGTATTTGATTATGCTATAAAATGGCACCATGTGCCTGGAAAACACACAGTACTGCCCCTTTAAAGGTGTGATTTGACGTGCCTTGCCTCTAGTAACACCAACCGTCTCATTTGGAAAAGTGTTTTCGAAGCTCTGCTAACAGAACAGACAGCTCTATAAACACAGAGGCTCCTCCCTGTCAGCTTCTTGTAGAATTGCAGAGAGTGCCACAAATGAATGCAGTTCAGTCTCCTCCCACTTCTAATGTGATCATAAACATTGATTTTCTGGTTTGTAATAATGTTCCATTGCTCCTCCTGGCTGTGAGTAAAACACACTGTGGGTAGCAGCACTCAGGGATGATTTCTGTCAATGTAGCTTGACTCTCTACTGACAAAGCCTTAGTGTATTAGATATTTCAGGCTCCTGACCTGAATAAACTCACATTGAGCACCAGATAAGCCTAATGAGGGCTAAGTCTTGCTTGTTGAGAGAAAATCTCTGCAGGGACTTTGGTCAAGCGACTAATATTGAGATTAAAACCACCGATTAATGTGTCAGATACTTCCCAGAATAAGATTGGGTGAACTGCATCAGACTTATGTTAATTGGGCTGTAGTGTGCTGTGGCGCTTGGCAAAACTTTAGCTGAGCTGGGCAACATGCACTGCAGCAGGAGCAGGATGACTCTGCAGGACCGGCCAGTTCTCTGTTTGCTTTAAAGGCACATTTTAGGTTCCATGAGGAGTACTAATGTTAGAAAAGGTTTTCAAACACTTTTCCTTACAGTCAGGGTTTTTTTTCATACGATAGTCTGGTAGGCTTGGTATAATTGGGGACCAAAATTACAACATTGGTGAAATTTTCAGCTGGTGCGGTTCACTTTCATACTACACTATGTCAAACCAACTAACCCCAAATTTGAGCATTTGTAGGATTTCTCTGTGCTACAGTCCTGGTTTTGGAGCAGTCTCTGGTATGCTTAGTGTCCGCATATGCATTCGAACTGTTCCAGAGTTCTCCTCAACTAAACCTTTGTAGGCGGACCAGACTTTGCTGTTTTGGTCTCCATCAAAGTTTGCAAGTTGTGCATTCACACCTCCCAACTGAACTGAAATTTTGATTAAACATACCAGACAGGACTAAGCTGGGCTGGTGTGAATGCACTCTAAGTGCTGCTCAGAGCATCTCCAAGTCTATGAAGAACTTAGTGGAAATACTCCACTTTCCAAGTCCACCTTTGTGGTTCAGTCTGTTTTCCTGTAGAAATTAAAGCATTCAGCGCATATTATACCTTATGATTACCTTTACTGACATCTTGACATGTTCCAGCATGTAATGCTGAGTAAAAAATCTGCTAAGTTTCTTCTTACTTTGCTTCCAACTGCTGGACTGTTACACATCAAACTTAATCATTCAGATAAAACAGGAATTTTCTGTCATCTAGTTAACAAAACACGAAGAGTCGCATGCAGCAAAGAGTCATGTTGCAACAGGACAGCTCACCCCATCACCCCATCACCCTCACTCAGCATCATACTGACCTCTGCAGAACATCACATGAACACAAACACACTCACAGCAATCACACAGTACACACACGTCCTGGGATATCAGACAGAAGAGTCCCTGGTTCACCAGTCTGTGTGGCCTGTATGCTGTCAGTCCACCATTGCAGTGTTCTCAGGGAGCTGAGCTCCGTTGTTGTTTTTCTGCATCTACATTGTGCTTTGTTGCCCTCTGAAAGTCAGGTGTCAGTATATTTATGCACTGATGCTGCTTTTAATCCTGCTGGGTGTTGTGAAGGTCACACAAGGCTTAGAAGGCAAGCACACACTGCAGTGTTTCCAGTGTTAGCTTATCACACAATTTTTCATTCTGCACACCGTCTTCTCTCCCTCGCTATGCCATCTCTTCCCACCGTCTCACTGGCTCTCGTCTCGCCTGGTCCCTCCCAGTGCTCCTCGTTCTTTCACAGGTTGTCCCGTTCTCGTAACCTGCTCGGTACTTCCACCGCGTCAGCGCAGAAACTGCTTGCGTGTCAGTATCTCGGAGGACAGGGACGTCGTTACATAACCAACTTAGTAAATCCTGCATGATGATGCGCTCCTCTCCTGTTTGATGTGTTGTGTCAGCAGCTGGATATGGAGAACAGACTTTCTTTAGAAGACTCATTTACTTTAGACAAGAGGTTTAAATAAAGCTGTTCACTGAGGTCAAACAGTAAATGTTGGAAAAAGTCTGTGCTTTCTCTGTGGACCCTTTGCAACACCACTCTTAATCACACGAGGCACCATAACAGACGATGAAAGTCAGCAATGGGAGTATTGATCACTGCAACTGCGATTGTTTTCACAAATCATTTCTTCTCAAATAACCATAAGATTTCAAATCAAACTAACTTGCCTGTGGAAGTAGCGTACCTATCGGGGTCTTATAGGCAGTGCATTTCACAAAAGTTACGAATAGTTAGCTGAGAAACTGAACAATGTCATCTTATTTCCAATGTGTTTGTTAATTTGATCAGATCTGACTGAATTTATGCCACATAATTTATACCACTGTGTCATCAACGTCACCTGCCCTTACATTGGAACAGTCTTAAAAACATGTGAGCAAGATGCTTACCACTTTTTTTTGTACATGGTAGGCTACATGAAGGTGAAGCATTGCCTCTATGGTAACAAATGTCTTAAATGCAGAACTTCTCAATAATGCAATATTTTATTGCATCGTACTTATAAAGCATTTGGACGTCAGTCTTGCTACCTTATCAAAAGTGTTCACTGGAAAATACCAACGGCTGCCAGTGCTTGCTATTGTCAGCTACTCTCCATTATTCCTCATCAAAAGTTTTATGATTAAATGACAAGTTCAGTTTGCATCCCTGTCTGTTTGTGTAGCCAACCATGCAAAACTGTGAGATCAACTAAATAAAAGTATAAAGAGTCAATATCCGTATATCCTTGCAGGGTGAGAAGTAGGATACACCCTGAACATGTTGTCAGTCTATCACAGAAAAAACATAAATACACGCAAGGCAACCAAACACATATGCACACACTATAGGCAATTAATATCAAGCAATTAGCACTACAGTCTCATTTTTGGACTGTGGGAGGCAAGTGGAGTTCCCGAAGAGAACCCTGACTTATGCAACTTATAGCTGCAAGGGAGGAGAGCAAGTGCATTGCTATGTAATTCATTTAAGATATGGATAATGTATCCATGATAATTTTCCATGTTTCTCATACGTTGGACTTTCCATGGACTGATGAGTCTGTGAGGCCTGAGATTAACTGTTCACCGCAATAAACTGAAAAAGAAAAACAAAACGCATCATTTATTCTCTGTATGTTTTAAAATATGAACCAAACATCAACTGTCAGACTGTGACAGCTATCCCACATGTTTGGGATAAGTTTTTTAATGTTTTGGTCATCGTCTTCATCTACAGAGTAGTAGTAGTAATGATTTGTGTATTGCTCCCAATTTTCAACAGGCATGTCATTATTTACATTAAAGCTGATGTAAATAATGACATGCCAAAAGATTTAAAATATACCTAGTTATTAATGGCACACATTACATGGACTGGATTGAATGAAATATCTGCCATGCAAGTGATGAAAGGCGTATGAGTGAGATTCTTTGAGTGAATCACAATTGGCAGACAGCACAGCAGGCAATAGCTTGCAGTTCCTCACACACAAGCCGAGATCTCAAGGCCCAACCAAGTTGTGATACATTATTAATGACAATAATCTGCTTCCATGTGCTTTTCCCTTTCTCTGTCTCAGCCTGCAAGCTCATATTGGACACTGACAGAATATTTCTGGCACAGCTGTGCCACAAATATGCAACACATTTGCGCCATGTTTGGTTTTAAAGTTCTATCAAGTGCAATTATTACCTTGAGCTGCTGTTTCTCTTCATTTATAAAGTCACATCTGTGCTTCAATTGGCTTTGACCTTCACAGACAAATGTCAACTTCCATTGCATTTGACCTGAGAAAAAAGAGACTAATGTTGACTGGGTGGTTCACCCACATGGCTGAGAGATGATTGGTTGATTAACTTTGATGTCTAGCCTGCGATGATTCAGCTAATTGTCAAATTGAGTCATCAATGCCAACCTGCATGTTGAAGCACCCAGAACCTATACGCAGGAGCTGTCAATGAAGCAGCTGTTGACCTTTGTTGTTTCTCGATGGTTGTCTGTTCTTCCTCCAGCCTCCGAGTTCTTGGAATCAAGCTGAAAACAGGAGGCCGACAACAGACGAACCTTCGGGCCTAGCAAGAGGTTGTCTGACTCCATGTCTGCCCCTGCTCCAGCCAGTCGGAGGACGACCTCAGGCTCTCGCCGGTAAGAAGCAAACAGGACATTCAGCGTTCAAGGCAATTTCCAAGGCAGATATTGTTCAATGTTGAGGATTGGGGTTCATTTTTACACTTGCATATTTACATATCTCAGTTTCATTTTGACCACTGATATAAGACAACTAAAACTGATCTGGCGTCTGGGCATATCAGATTGTCTATATGGTAGGTATAGCTTCACAGTGACTTTATCATCCAGGATGGATGAATGAAACTAATCTGGGTTTGTTGACACTTATTGTTATTTATGGTCTTGAATCGTTGTGAAAGTGGCTGTTCCCTTTGGGATAAAATATACATGGAGCATTTCACACTGGAGGATTAACTGTTTTAAAACCCACCAGCCACATAAAATTGTACATTTTTACCTAAATGTATCTGACTTCTTCAGTGTTAAGTGTGCCACCTAAGCAAAAAAATAAAAGGAAAACAAGTCATTTTGGAAACAAAAGCTGTCATCCATCTACAACAAAATGGTTTGAGGAAAAAAATCAAGCTTAGACATTAACTTGACATCTAGAATGTTTAGATGATATGACTTGATGGGTGTAAGTTTTTGTGGCAAAAAGAGGAACCAGCGTGTATGGGAAGGCGTCTTGCCAAGGCACGTGGAGAAAATGCAGATTCAACACAGAAAGCAGCAAAAGTATTTCATAAACTGTTAAAGAAAAAAGAAATGTAAAACTTCATGTAAAACGTTTTACACTTCTGGTTTTCTAAACCAGTTTATCAGCTGGAGCTGCTCTTAAAGATATCCCAGTTTGTGCTTTTGTGTCATTCTGACGTATTTTATTTTTGGAGCGACTGGTGTCCATATGATGGAGGAAGAGACACGAGGAAGACCAAGGACTCACTGGACAAAAAATGTATCCTGTCTGACCTGGGGATGGACGGACAGATGGATGGATGGTTTTATTCCAATTTATGAATATTGGCATCACAATGTCTTGACAGAAAATAAGGGAATTTCGGACACAGCTAAATAGATAATTCTAGAATTGTGTGTTAAAAAATTGTTGTCAAGTCAAATATGGACAAATCCAAAATATTACAAATGTATTGCTTAAAGATATTTTATGGCAAAACCCCTCCCATTTAAAGTTTTTCTACGCTGTTAATTTAATACATCTTTATTAGAGGATATTTACACCAACATTTCAGGGGCAGGCTTCATCCTGTGTCATTTTCTCTGGCATCACACAATCTGCTGAGTCACTGCCCTATGAATACCAGATCAGAGACGCCTGCATTTGGAATCGACCCAACACACGTCCAGTAATGGATCTGGAGACACATCTCTCCATCAGTGATATCCTGTGTTCAGACAGAACATCCTTGTCAATGATCCTGATAAAGTCTTTAAAAACATACCTGTCTCAGTCTGACACCTGTCTGTTAACTCCCTGAATCTCCTTGAAAACATTCTTTGTATGGTTCAAATCCAGCTTCATGGCAGTCTGCCATATTATCCTGTGTTATGCTAACTGAAATGGTTTTGGTCTGCAAAGAGTTTTAGCAGTTCTCTCAATGGATCTCAATTAAACAGATAAAGCGGATTGGTTAATGGCTTATCAGAAACAGTGGTTTTTCATATAGTTGTTTATTTCATTTTTCACATGTTCCTCATATGTTAGTTGGCAGGTATCATCCAATCATCCCTAAACATGGTACCAGAACCAGGAATATATTTCAGAAGTGACAACATTTCATGCAAGTGATTTTCCTCTGTGTCTGTGGGGTTTGGATATCTTCACTTACTTCTGAGTATCACAAAGGACATTTAACAGCTGAAAGAAATTCCTATTTCACAACACTTGAAGTCACATGTAGACCTCTAAACTCTTCTAATGGCTACATCCAGAAAGTACTCACAGTGCTTAATTTCTCCCACAATATTACTGCAGCAGTGGTTGGAAGGAATTATGATAATTAGTAACTCTGAAGCTTCTTTGTCATCTTGAAGCACTGTGCTGATGATCATCGACTGAGTTTTTTATATACTGTATGTTTTTTTGTTGTTGTTGTTGCTTTTTTGTTGTTTTTTTTATCAATAAGTAAGTAAGTTAATGTTTGTTTGTAATTCCTTCAGGACATAGTTGTGTAAGGTGTGAGATGGAGATGAGCTGAAGTGTCTGCACAACAAATGGATCCTAATGCAGTTGTGGTCAGACAAGTTGTGGCTCAGCAGTGCATAAATATTCAAGCCAGTCCTGAACCTGTCTGTCCATATTTTATATTTGCAGATTTCAAAAAGTTTATTGTGCTAAAATAAACTAAAAGTTTTTGCACTAGGATGAGGTGGTTTATCGAAATAGGTGTATTTCACAAAACTGCAATGGAAATACTTTTGTGCATCAGGATGATAGTTTGTTTTGGTTTTTTTCAGATCTCTGCCAGCATCACACAGTCCATACAAATCTGTGTGTCATTCCAGGCTGTAGAGTCAATTACTCTTCTGTAAAATCTCAGACTACAATTTTCCCCCAAAATGCAGCATACTTAGCGACTCTCGAGTGGGCGGAGCTTGCAGCTTCAACGCCTGAATAAGATGCCAAAGTCTCTTCTGATTGGCTGGCGATGAGCGCTAGCACCATGACTGGACTGTGACTAAATCTCATGTAATTGTTGACATCTATCTTTTACATCATTTTGAATGACTTATGACGTGAATAAGCTTCTTCACCTTTGACTTTGATTTCATTCATTTAATGGAAACACAGCAATTGTGAAATTTGACATTAGCAGAATATAAGCAAAGATTTGCACACATTTGACACAGAAACACAGCCACTGTTAATGTGGAGCCTTTTCTCTGTGGAACTGTGGCTTTGTGCGGTGGTCATGTTCTGACCGGTCTGACCCTTTATTCTAACAGACTACCTTGAGAAGATTATGTTGGTTTGGACCTTCCTTACACAAACAAATGCAGAAAGGTTTTAGAAACTTTCCAAAAATAACTTAATACAGCTGAACTGCATTAGTTAAGTTGAGGTTATTTGTTGTACATAAGCTCTGACATCACTTCCCTCTCTGACAGGTGTTATGTTGTCTGCTTTTTATGGTCATGGTGATGAGCAGCAGCCTCAGTCTGAAGCCGTGGTCTCCTCCTCTCTCATCTCTCCTCTTCCTCAGATTCAACCCTCTGAAGGCGCTGCAGCCCAAACGCCGCTTGCAGCAAATACTGGCGTCCTCACCCGTGCCGGCGGCTTCCAAGCCGGCATCGGGATCGGGGACGAGTGCAGCCGCGGCCACTGCGGCGGTGGCCATTCCGGTGCCTGCGCCCCCTGCGTGAGACACTGTTGAATTGCAGTCTCAGCGAGCATGCTCTGCGGCTGTAGCTGCAGCTCTGACGCTCTAGCCACTAAAACCAGAAATGGAAAACTAATTTCTTTAAAACTTCATTTTGCTGCTCTTGTTGAGCTTTCGTTCGAGCAAATAGATGAGGTTGACCTGCTCATACCTTGCACTCTGCTGGTAAACGTGAACATGGAGTTCATATTGGAGGACCGGTGCTCTTGTGAGGTCGTGTTTAGTGGCTATAGTGGAAGCAGCTGTGCTAGGAAAGCATACTGTGATCATGAGTGATCACTGGTTCACCACTCACTGCTTAGCCTGTGGACACGTTTGAGACACTGGCTTCACTTCGAATGCGAAAGATATTATTGTTTCATTTTGTTGTTGTTCTTCTTGTTTTTGATTCATCAAAAATACTGAAGCCTTTTAAACTTTACCTCATCATGTAGCAATATCCTGCCAATCATGCTGACACCTAATGCTCACCTTCACCTGACTGACTTGCCGCAGGCACCATCTGTAGATGGACGAACAGACCAGAAACACTGATTCTCTGTGTATTCTGTCACTTCTTAGGCTCATCCCCTGTTCTTAGCTACTCCTGTCTGCCTGGTTCACCTTTTGCTAATGTCTCAGCTTGTTTGTCATATATTGATTTTCAAAGACCTGTTGAGTTGTCAATATCTGGCCTCCTCCCTTTTGTGCTGCACAGGGCACGATGACGCAACACAAGCAAAGCCAATACGTAGACATTTTGATGCTTTAGCGTCAGATGTACTCTGCCCAACTTTTGGGACTGGTAAACACCAGGTTACTTAATTTTGTATTTCTTCTCCAAATTAAGGGTTTCAAATTTATCCCGTAGAAAGAAATCCAATTCATCCACCATTAGTCTTGTATCTAGCTATCTAACTGTTTTCTAAGTGATGAGTCAAAATCAGCAAAAATCATTTAAGAGTTAATATATAAAACCTGTTAGAAAGCCCATCTTCAAGCCTCAGTGTATTTGTGAGAAATTATTAAATATAATCATATTAAATATAATCCTATTGTTTTTGTTTAATCATCAAATTAATAGATTAAATTTATGTGTGTGTGACTTTCTGAGAGCAATTGGAGGGTATTGAAAGAGTTGTACATTCATAACATTCTAAAATTGTACTTTAAAAATAATAGAGAAAAATACCTGCTCCCCTAAGTCATGGGTTCCCAAACTTTTCAGTCTGTGACCAACTGAAAAATAGGACCAGAGCGTCTAATGACGACCCGGTGACGCCAATAATACATGTGTAATTAATTCACTCTGTAAATAATTATATGCCTTTTAAATGCATTTATGTTTAAGAACTAACCGCTGCCCTAAATGACAACAGGAAGTAAAGCAAAGACTGGAGCCGTGGTTTAGCTTGTAGTTACCGTGTCCTGTGTGTAAATCCCTCATGGCTGCTCTGAGTCGACCTGCTTGAGTCCTCTTCCACTTTTGGCGGTTGCTCAATGGGCAAATTTTTTTTTTTTTTTAAAAACCTCTCCATAATTATAGAACACAGATCTAGAAGTTGCCCATCACAGAGCATTCTGCCTTTGTCTCGCCTGGGACGGATGTGCTTTTACATAAAATGCTTTACTTTCTTAGCAGAATCCAGAACTTCTGAACATCAGCATGTTTTTATACAAAAGTTGAAGTCATGGGCAAACAGCTGGCAAAATCCTATTCATACATAACAACTGGATGTAGAAGAATGAAAAAGTACATAGAAAGGAAATATAAGCAAAAAAAAAAACACAGACCACTGCTGTTGCTAAATGCTTTCAGTCTTTTAACCTCTTGCTTTATATTTGTTGGTCTGACAGAGTGCAAGCATGAGATGTCTGCTACAGGTTTGCTGACATGTTAAATTTCTACCGGGAATATGCAAATATTGCTATTCCTAATAACTTGTCAGCTGTCTTTCATCACCCTGAAGCAGTTCCCTACTGCAGCGTTCTTTGGCTGTTCTGTAGTTTGTCTGGTAGTTTCTGTGATAGCAGTGATAGAAAGGTCTTACAGATCAGCTCTACTGCAGTTTTTGAAGCAAAAGAGATTCTTCTTATTGAAATAAAATAGGTTTTAGCCATGTTGTCACCATTTCTCTATCAGTGTTATCTAGTGTTTGTGACCTCTGCTGTTTAGAATCATTTGTGTGGAAACCTATTTGGCATAAAGTGCTTCTGGATATCAAGGTTTTTATGTTCAAACATCCCATGCTCTCCCTCTAAGACGTCTCCAGCCTTTTTCTCACTTTTAGATTGTGTTTTAAGATCCACACTATTAGTTTATGTTTTCTGTCAGTACAGCCCTACAGCAGCAGATTGTCCAGAATGAGGGGCCCTTCCCTTGATGCAGCCTTTTAGAAGGCATCATCTCATGGGTCAGTTCAGTGCTTAGTGATATTCAGTGCAGACACCACCTGAGAGCTTCTCCTGTCCCTTCAGGGCAGCTGCAGTTTGCCTGCATGCATTCACACACATCGCATCATGCAGGTGCGGTTTGCTGATCCACCTTCTGCGGTTTAACACCTTCCTGTTTCTGCCTGCTCAGGTTTGACTACTGCAGGTTCATAGAGCTAGATTATGTCCCCATGGAGTCGGGCTACATGGTCTCAATGCGCCCCACTAAAGGCTACGCATCAACCAAGTCGCCCACTAAAGGATACACCTCCACAAAGTCTCCGGATCGCCGCTCGACAAACTCTCCCTCCACACCACGTTCCCGGTCTGTGCCGAGTCCAAGTCTTGGTGTTCTTTGGTCGTCTAGAGCATGGGAATGTTTTTGGTGTTTCACGATGTCTTACAGTGGGAAGCAAAAGCGTTCTAGTTTACCAACAAGTTAGCCTACTTTTGTTGTATGCTACTTTGCTTGTCTTTTTTTAAATCACTGAGCCCATTCCCTTCTTGATAATAATATCAGTATCCAGAGAAGTGTGTGTCCATGTTCCTCATGCAGACTTATTTTCTGTTGATATCCACTCAAATGTCCGAGTGTTGTGATCTGTCAGAGTGTATGCTGCAGTGGCATGCTGGTGATCACGAGTCAGTGCATTTCTGTCTTTGTATGTGTAGTAGAACTGCTTATCAGTCTGTTTGTGGTTTTTAGTTGCATGGTAAGAGGTGAAGAGTTGGTTCCTTCTTTCCAGGCGGCCTCCAGCTGCACCCAGTAATAGAGATCCCCATGGCAATGCCTCCGTCAGCAGTGGCAGCAACTCAGGCTCGTGTAAAGGCAGTGACTGCAGCCCCACCAAAGGGTAAGAAGTCTGAGAACAGTAAGAGTGATGCAGAGCAGCATCATCCACCATTCATATTTCACACCGTTTAACTACGGTGACATTGTAAAATTATAGTGAAGTTTCATAGAATAGAAATGTAATCAAAGCCCATAATTGGTTTTAACTATACATGTGTTTGCATTGGATGTTTTTTTTATATCCAGCAGTCAATGATAATCTAATGCAGGAAACAGAAGTGGGAGTCAGTGTACCATCAATAATTTTCCTGTGTGAAATACAAACTAAGAAAAAAAGGATTGGTTGTAACTGTTCTCATAGTAGCTGTCTGATGTGACTTAGGCACTTTATATTCTGTTCTCAGAATATCAAGGATTTCTGTGCAAAATCTATGCAATGCGAATGTGATAGTATTAACTGATCTAGCATTGTAATCCTGGAACCTCCAAACTGAACGGCTTTTCTTCTAAATGAAGACACTAAAAGAATTGTCAGGTGTTAACTGCTTATTACATTTAAACATATTCCTTTAACTACAGGAATCCCGACATTTCTTTTAAAGTTGTGTAAAAAGACACACTCAGCTTAATCTTATGATGCTAGTCTGATTTTTAGTATTGTAGTCGAGACATAACCTGAGACCAAGTCAAGACCAAGACCAGCGCCCCACAATGCATCACACACTAACGTGTGAAACACTGTTTTTGTTTAGTTCCCTCAATATGTTTACTATATAAGGTGAGGTCAGTTTTTGCAGCTTGGTGTTTTCATGTTTTAGTGTCATAAAACATATGTTTTATACTGCACACAGGGAGGCAAATTAATATGTAGCTAATATTTACTAGATCTCTCTATATATTTCTATATTTCAGGATTTCTGAGCTTTCATACAGAGACTTTCTTTTGAAACAAGCCATTTAAACACAGTTACTTAAAAAAAATACTTCAAAATACTCAACTTGTGGCAGATCACTTATGTTTGGTTGTGTCTGGTGTGTCCCAGACGTCAGAAGTACACATCATGTACGGACAACCATGGTATTCGCCCTCCTCCCCCAGAGCAATACCTCACACCTCTCCAGCAGAAGGAAGTGTGTATCCGACACCTGCGAGCAAAGCTCAAAGAGACCATTAACACCCTGCAAGACAGGTGAGAGATTGAGTCAGAATGACAAAAACCTGGATAAATGTTTAAAACGACTTTCTGTATTCTGCTTAGTTTAAATCATTCTGTCCTTCCTCTCATTTTTCAACCTTTCAGGGACACAGAGATTGATGCTCTGCGATCTAAGCTTTACCGAATGCAGGAAGACTGGGTCGAGGAGGAGTGTCACCGCGTGGAGGCTCAGTTAGCCCTGAAAGAGGCTCGTCAGGAAATTCAGCAGCTCAAACATGCAGTGGACACAGTTCGTACCCGACTTAGTGATGCCGGTGGGCTCAGTGGAGACGCAGGGGTTCAAAAGTACTTCCAGGACATCAATACTCAGAATCACAAATTGGAGAACCTTTTGTTTAACATGGAGATAGCACAAGCCGGACTAGCCAAGGAAGGAGAAGCCATACCAGGCTGCAGGACCCGTGCTGGGGGCTCAGCTCCGGCATCTGTTTCTGGAGAAAGCCCTGGAGTTGTACCTAAGTTGCCAGTGGGAGGAAGGGGGTCTTGTTCTTGCGATGGCTCTCCAGCCCGTTCTCTGACTCGGAGCTCCACCTACACCAAGCTTAGCGACCAGGCACTGGGAGACCGCAATTGCAATGACACAGACTTTCCTTGCCTGTCAGCTGATGGCACACAGGACAGTGGGTTTGTGTGCTGCGGAGAGAACACTGTCCCCAGCCGGGCAGACCTCCTCCTGGAAGCCGCCTACCTCTCAGAGGAAACGGCATCTTTGTTGAACTCTTACACGCAGGCCTTCTCCCACACTTTGCCTCATTCTGCCCCCCTCTCTCTGCCTCACACTTACTCCCATACCTTACCTCATTCTTTCCCTCACAACATGTCCCACTCCATGCCACACACGATGCCTCACTCCTCCACCTATGAGAAACTCTGCACAGGCGAGCGGCTGGCTCCATTTCGTTGCAGTTTGGGTGGAGTGAGCTGCATGAGCCACCCCTGCCTGTCCCACCACCACCTGTACCTGCACCCCCTGAGGGAGGCAGGCATTCAGACTGAGAGCTGCCCCATCCCTGCAACGGCGGGGTATCCCTCTGATCTGGATACTATTGCAGAGCAACGTACGTTTCGCTCTCAGGCCTGCAGCCCCACCTCCACCTGGATGTCTGATGAGGGGGAAGAGGATCTGGACTCCATCACCACCACCACTTCAGTGACCACAGCGACCGTGATGAGCACAGCCACTGAGCCAATTCCAGTTTCCAAAACACCACTGGCTCCACCTCTTCCACGATCCGCTACTGTGGCATTTTCCATGGAGAGTCCTTCATATCAGGCAAATGACAAAGTTGAGGAAGAGGAAAAGCAAGAAAAAGAGAACAGAGAGAAGGCAGGAGAAAAGTTGGAAAACACAGAGGTCAGACAATCTGGAGAGGAGGAGCAGACAGAGCAAAGCTCAGTGGAAGGAATTGAAATACTGGATGAAGAGGCAGAACAAAGAAAAGTCTGTGATTTAGCAGGAAGAATGCAGGGTGAACTTCATTTTGTAGGGTGCTGTGGAGAAAACAAGCAAGATGACCAGAGAGTGGAGGACAAGCAACAAGAGGCCGGGATTGGAGAAATATCAACAGAAGAAAAGAGCCCTGTGATTACTCCAGAGTCTGCAGGCGTACAAGAGCCTCAAACATCCCAACCTCTGAGGAGATCCATCTCCCATGAAGAGATAGCTGGTGTCACAGTGGTGGAAGTTCACGACGAGGATGATGATAAAGATAAGACTAATGAACAAGAGGCCACAGGGATTGTTGTAGCAGAGGACGAAGACTCTGGGAAAATCCAAAAAAGCTACTGGAGTCGTCACTTCCTGATTGATCTGCTCGCGGTGGCCATCCCTGTGGTGCCAACGGTAGCGTGGCTGTGTCGTGGCCCGGTCCGTGGCGGCCAGCCTATGTATCACATCGGTTCTCTGCTGAGAGGCTGCTGCACTGTTGCACTGCACTCGCTGCGCAGGGGCGGTGGCCTGAGACATTACCCCGCAGGCGGGGGAGATCTTGGCGGCACACAAATATAGCAGAATGACATCTTTCTGCTCCTTTACTGTGGTGTCACTTCTCCTGTATGGTCTGTAGCGTTAGACCATCGCTTAAAGTGCAAGAGCAAGAACATCTTGTTCTTCTGCGTTGGATGGTAATAAAGAAGTGGCAACAAAGAGGAAGATCTTTGACTGGTCAACTCAACTCTGACCCTACAACATATTGTAAAAGCAAGAAGGATAATTACTTTTTCTTGCTTGGTCTTTGCTGTCGTTACCAAAATATCCATGTACTGGCTTGTGCTAGCTGAATGAACTGCTTGAAATGAATGATCAATGCTTTGGTGTTGATTGTTTAATTTATTTTTGAATGTAGAGAAAAATGTCCCTTGCCATGTCGCCTGTCAGTTATGATGTAATACGACGATCACATGTTGGTGAATGTGTACATAAATACTTTATATGTATGTATAGGCGTGTATATGTTAAATTAAATTAGAACAAACTAAGGCAATGGTTGTTGGCCAGTGGTAGTGGGAGAAAAATCCACTTTAATCCAAAGCTGCAGACACTTTTCCCTGATAACTTCAAGAGGTAATAGATTGAATTTGTCTGCTGTGGAGAAAAACATGGTAGACACAGAACTCAGGTATCTGCTAGGGGTAGAAACGCAACCGATCCTGTCAGCCTCCTCGCACAGAAGTGTGCTAAATGAACTTCAGTCAAAAGCAATTTATTCTTACTGGCTCCCTCTCTTTAAACTGGCAGTGGAGATATTTTCAATGAGTATGTTGTCTTTGATATACAAGCTATCTGTACCTAGACTTAATGGAGAGGCCTGGTTATTACAGTTCAGATGGTTATAAACAGTCTCTTTAGTGTCCACTGAAAACATAAGAGGTTTAAATTGGGTAGAGCAGGAAGAAAACGCTTCACCTTTCCTGGACTTCCTGACACAAGTCCAGATGAAGATCAAGGGTTGTTCAGATTTAAATGAAAGTTAATGGTTCCCTCTACTGGCCAGAAGCAGAAGTGAATAAACTCAAAAGTATGACATTTATTCTTTAACGTTAGCTTTATTCCTTTTCTTAAGGTTTTCTTAATGACATTAATAATGGTAAATTATAAAATTATTCCGTGGAAAGGGACTTGGATTTTGTTGTTCTTTTATGTTTTCCCAATGTAGTGCTCAGCTGAAATGTTTCCATTTTCAGGTCAGTAAAATATTCTAGATGAAATTCTAGAATATAGGAGATATGACTACCTGTAGCTCCAGCAACAAACGAGACAGAACGACGAATGGGGGTAAACACATTTAGTGTAGAATTGGTCAGGCATTTTTCAAAATAGAAATTGAAATCATTAAGAGCACATGACAGTGAGGTCGTGCAGATTAAAAATTACAGAATAAAAAGAAACATAGATTATTTTTGACCCATACATGATACTCTCTTTCAATGGTCACTTTACATGTTGGCACTTCAGCCACATTTGTCTAGACTGATGGAAAATAATCAAGTGAATTTAGCTGTAATCCAGTCGCATGTTACACTGGCTCTGATTAGGTCCAGCAGAGCAACAAGTAGTCCAGACATGTCTTAGTTTCACAGGGACTAGTTGTGTAATTATTTAAACAAACATAAAAGAAGAAATTTAGCTAAGCTGTAAACACTACAAAAAAAACACCTCATTACATAGAAACAGAGCACTTTACAATAGCTTCCGCCGTCATGATGGAAGTTCAAACAGAAGTAATCGTAACCTATGAACAATGTTAGTTATTACTTTGGCTAACATTCTGTCATTTTTACAGCTGTGCAGTTTTCTCTACATGCTGCATCCTGTACCCTGGTTGGTTTTTGCGTTTATGTGTTGCATTCTTTTCAATCCAACCCTCCTTGTGCAGTCTGCTTCTCGAGTCGACACTGATCTGCGTTCTCACAGATTGTTGGTTGTGTTTCTACCCTGAGATAGTTTTCATTAGACTCACCTGTTTATTTTCACTTGTGTGTGAAGTGTTCTTCCAGCGATTTTAATGATGTGGTCCCCCCCCGACCCCCCTTCAAATGTCCATCCTGTCCACTAATTTTCCGCCATTACATAATGAGTTCACAGACAACACATTCAGCGCTGTACATATCCTCACACCTGCTCTGAATGGTCCTTTAGCTAAAGGTTAGCCCAGCTATCTTAACTTTGAAAGAACTCTAAATAAATCAAAGTTTTTTTTGGTGAGAATTCATGAAATGTTATGGAAATGCAGTGTGTAAATTTTGTACATTGAGAAATATATTGCTCTTAGACTATTCCTCCCTAATTTGTGCCTTTTTATTTTCCAATTTCACAACAGTGTCTGGGGAGTTGACGTGGGCCTGGAATATTTTCTATACACAGTTACCTATATAGCTGTTTAGTGTGCTGAACCAACAATCAAAACTCTTTAGTCATACAGTGAAATCATGATCAAATGTCTGTAGATACTCACTATCTCAGCTTGACACCATCAGTAGATCTGAGTGAAGTGAGTTGTGCTCAGTCTGTGATATATGCTGTATATTTCTGCTAACCCTGATGCTCTTGTGCTATAGCTAGTATTTAACTGTTGATATGTATTCTCAAGTCCATCGTACACAGATTAGTCCATCACAAAAACAAACTGTGTGTCCACAATGGTCTTGCAAAGACATTCTAGAAATCTGTTAGGGTAAAATGTGTTGTTTGGTTCCAGTCGCATTCAGCTGAGTTTTATTTTCTGTATGTCTGTTATCAGGCTGTCGTTGGTGTTTGCTGATGTCAAAACTCAAGAAGCATGTAGCAGATTGATGGTTAAGTACCAGTAAGGTAAAGCATTTTTTTTACTTAGCATTCAAGATACTGACAAAATACCTTCTGCAAACAGATTTAAAAGAAATAACTACATTTAAGACCATATTTTATTACATCCACAAATTTCAATGTATTTTTTGTTACTATTTCATTGTATGTGATGGACCAACATAAAATGAAGCGTAATTTTGGAATGGGGAAAAAAAGCATAGCTTTGTGGGTTTCAATTTCTTTTTAACAATCTGTTTTGGAGTTTTGTACATCTGGAATCTTTGCCCATTTTTGAGAAATAGCTCATGTTCAATGATAAGGAGTAGAAAGTGTGCAGACCACATGTACCTCCAATCATCAAATTGAAAGTATATATATATATATATAACATATTAACTCACAGTACGCTATTCGTTACAAAATAACCACATTGAAAAACTAATATGTAGATCCAAAATAATTTTTTGGAGACGAAAAGTTCCAACAAAAATATGCCATATAACTCTAAGGGCTAAAGAGACTGAAAAGAGCAAAATGACAGCAGAAGGAACCAATACAACATCACACTGTGCAGTAATATTCAGAGACAGAACAGAGACTTCATAAAACGATATAGGCAAATACGCTTATGATTAAAACATAAAATGGAAAGTAAGAAAATGACAAACTTGTCCAAAGACAGAAATCACAGAGCGCGTTACAGAACGACTCTGGCTGAATTCAGTCTGTGCTGCTCGTCTTCCTCAGATGAAGGTTCTGCTGGCCTTTTGATTTTTCCTGTATTCTGGTAAAAATGTGTCTCTAAATGTTTCTATTAAATGTCAGAGTCAAACATGGACGCAAGAATCCTCTGGAACCACCAACACGTCAATACGCAATGTCCTTCTTTTACGTTTTTACTTTTTTTATTGCACTATTATTCACTTTATATGTTTTAAGGATTTACTTGAAGTAGACTGTACATGTCTCTGTACCAACTGTTGTTTCCTCCCTGATTATTTTTGATGAAGTCCATGAGGGTTAGTAGTGGTAAACGTCTTAATGGATTAAAACTCAGATATTTCATGTTGATCATTTTGTATGATGAAATTGTAATTTATGATCCTTCAATCCCTAAAATGAGCTGCTCTTAACTAGAGTGAAACCTGCAATGTGATTGTTATTACTATAATCTGACTGGTAAAAAGATTACAAAAATCATGAGTTTATGTTGGGGGTAATCTTCTATGAAACAATAGACTCCTGTCTATTATTTCATAGAAGGTTCTCGAGAAAGAAAATGTCCTCTGTTGTTTCTCTGTGTGTTGAGCTGTAGGTTTGATCCCTTGTCTGACTGTGTGAAGGGAAATTAAGAGGCAGAAATCATGTTTAAAAAAAAAAGCCATATGCTGTCGAGTTGTCAGGGTACAAGTGTGGAAATGAGAGTCAGACTCTGCTTCTTTGCTGCAAAGTAATGTAAAAAAAAAAGAACACACAATACTAGTGTTATGTGAAGGAATCCTCCTGTGTCCTGCAGTTTGCTTTTGGCAGACAGCTTTCTCATTGTTACTAACCACAGGCTGCTGTGACTGACAGGGTAATAAAGCGAAGAAAGTTTGAAGGTGTCATCTGTAGAGCCTCGATGCAGTTTACTAGGAACATCCTGATAAATGGGAACAAAGAAAAGTCAATTTATTGCAATAACACTATTTGAAAAGTTCAGACTTATATATTTTCATACCCAGCACACAGACTGAAATATTTACTTCTATTTATTCAGACGATTATGTCTTGCAGCTAATTAAAATTTGCAGTTTAGATTTTTTTTTTTTCCTTTTTTGTCAGAAAATCTAATACAGAAATTCATTGGACACCTGCCAAGGTTGTGTTTTTGCTTTTTTTTTTAAAATGTTTTGTGAAAAATTTGCTTATGCTTGGGCATTTTCCTGGAGTGTATCAAAAAAACAAAACATAAGTACCTTTGTTCACGCAACTTGACATCCTATTGGCAGGCTTTTGCAAAGCAGCCAATCCAGGAACACCATTCATTTTCCTCAGAGCTCCAAATAATGGAGCTGATTGGCTGGATAACCAGCCAATCAGCTCCATTATTTGGAGCATTAATGCTCCAAGTAATGGAGGAGCATTGATGTAATCTTCAACAGAAGCTAAGAGGGCTTCCACTGTGCATATTAATTATTATTTGGCTAGTAAAGTAAGCAGTTCTAAGTTATTTTACAGGAGGTCTAAACCTTTTGTTTCAGCAGATTTGAGCTATTTCAGGGCATCTTCTGGGGGCCACTGCATAAATATCAAGACTAATAACTCTACAAGTTTTGTTTCTTGAAAAACCAAGTCCACTTTGTAATTTGTAATTCTTCCTCAAACTCTTTAACGGGTTTGGCTTCACAATCCTGCTAAGGCTGCAGTTTTTCCTGGGATTTTTTAGTTTTGTTTTTTTTCAACCAAACATTTTTTTTCTTCCAACCAACTTTCCATTCACATGCAAACATTGCTATAACACTGTTAGCTGTCGACAAGGCAGCAGGCAGTCTTGCCCAATGATTACAACTCTATCATAACATTTCTGTATTGAAGACCTTTGTAAGATGGTCTTATGCAATTTCTGGAGAAACTGACAGTCGGGTTTTCATCAGCTGTAAGCCATAACCATCAACATTAACATAAATAAATGCTTGAAATACATCACCTCCTTACTAAGTGAATCTGTTTGATATCAGAGTTTCCATTTTTGAAGTTATTTGAAGTAAATTATTGAATGAAATTATTATTTGGATGATATTCTCATTTATTGACCTGCACATGGAGTTAAGCTCACATGTTTCTGTTCAGTCAGGCTTGTTGTACAGGATCTCCCCGCTTTCTAAACAGAAATGATTTTGCAATACTGGCCTCTAAAGTCTATATCTTAAAGTACACATATTATAGAGTTTTGTTAATTGATTATGATTTGTGAAGATCTCTTACTGATGTTCCCAGTTCTCATTGTTAACAGGTGCAAGTTCTTTTTATAACACATAGAAAATACATTTGGGTTTTGCATTATAAAGCAGTTTCACCTGAGAGCAATAAAAATTTACAAGATTGTCACACATATCTCTTGAGGAAAATATGTATTGCTTTCTTGAGAGTTGCCATCCAGTTGAAGGCAATTATTTCAATTAATCAAAAGTGAGCAGGGGAAATTATTCCTTAGAAGCAAATATGTCCAAATGTTTGGGGTTGGGCTGGTCATTAAACAGCGTTCAATCAATAATGACCATGATTGGGTGGTGATTTTTGACCATCCAATCATGAGTACTGTGAAGGGTACCCAGAAAAAAAAATCTCAGATCTCCTCCTGGGGGCGCCACTGCTAGCTTCCTGTAGGTGGCTCCAAGATAAAACAAATGTCTTCTGCCATTTTAAAATAGTCTCAAAATGTTGCTGGTGTAAGGCCGGTCTCATTAAGAGTTTTTAAAGTACCACCATATTTCAGCTGTATAGTTATATTTATCCATGCATATTTATCTGCTGCAGAAGGAATACAGTGTAAGAAACTACAGAAAGCAACTTTTAGTGCCCTGAAAAAACTTGGCATCTACAGAATGAATTTGTGATTTGCCATAACATTTATGATATTTCAATTAATAGAACTGTTTTGATGTCCATTTGTGTATGAAAAAAAATGCTAAAAATTACTTTTCCAGTTTCTACACATCTTGAATGTCTGTTTAAAAAAAAATCTTTGAAAAAAATCTGAAGTATCAAAAAAATCAGAACTATCGAAAAATGACCCATCTCTTCTAAATAAAGCGTTGGAACAAGCTGCAGGTTGGTGTGCAGGACCGATGAAGACTTTGAAAAACACATATAAAAACACCAGGAATATTAATTCTCTTCAAAGTCATGGAATATTAAAATCACTTTCCTCAATTTCCAGCATATTTTCTGAGTTATGAAAATCTACTGATATTTTGCCCTTCATTGACTTCTGAGCAGAATCATATCTTATTAAATGTCTTGTTCATGCTCATTGTTTAAATAAGCCTTTAGGTCATTTTGATATTTTGTACACCACTTATTTCAAATAATTTGCACATGCCTTTTATGTACCTGAATGTTCAATACAGTAGCTATTGCATTTTAATCAAGTTGGGCAATAATTTAGAATTAAATATTGAGATTATTAACACTATTGAGCACATTAAATTCAGTTCTGTCAGGTTATATATTTATAGCGCCAATTCACAACATATGTCTCAATTACATTCACATGACAAAACACAGATGATTTTGTGAAATTAAGATGGTTATAGTAAAAAAAATTATTTTATTAACATAGAACATATTTTTAAATCTTCTTTTATCTTACTGTTTGAATTATGCAGGAATACTTGTGTGTGTATGTGCGTGAGTATGTGCATGTTCCCCTCCGTAAGTAACCCTGATGTATCCTGAGGTCTAGTTCCTTAACATCAAGCCTGTTCAGGCAACCATTAATTACCCTGTACAGAATGAACATATATTTGAAGTTTATCTGAAATAACTATTTTAATGCAATAGGAGGGCATGCAGTGAAAAAAGTTATAAAAACAAATGGGATCTGCGTCCCTCCACACTGTATGAAGTCAAAAATAAACTTATGTTAAAAGAGCATGATGGACACGTTCTTGTCATCTTTGTCGTCGAACTGTGAATCAGTGAGGCAGAATCAGGGTGTGAACAGAAAAGACTTTATTCAGTTTTACAATATTATCTTGGTTACATATGTATATAAACTTTTAGATTTTTGTAATTTTTTTTACAGAATGACAGCATTTTTTGTTTTTTTATCAGATTGCATACGGAGAAAATTAAAGAGTCATGCATCCCGAAAATGAACAGCAATAAAAGGAGGAACATGTGGGAATTTACAAGTGTAAGGTCGGTGTGTTCATCGGTCGTGAGACAAGACGCAGCAGAGGACAGCAGGAAGTCCTGTCTGATGGACCGAATCGGATTATTTTTTTGTATGAGTTGTCTGGTTAACACGAGGCACCACAAAGATTAAAAAAGATGAAATGGATAATACAGGAGAAAAAAACTCTGATAAAGGTAATGAAAAGTGCACTTAGTGGGCGGGCCCGGCTCAGGGCCCCCAATGAAATAATATCAGCCATTTCCTCATGAAACACAAGACCATACAACGCTTTACCTCCTCTTGACAGGCAACCACAATAATATTAAGATAATTATTTTATTTCCCTCATCTGATATAGTCAGTCCTCCAAACATTGTTTCTTTTCCCAACAGTTCCCCCTGGAATATGCACAGTGTTTGTTGCAGCTGCAGCGCATCAGAGGCTGGAACTGTGTTGTTCTAGGTCGCCACCTTCTGGACAATATGGAAAACTGCTGCATTCAGACTGAATCTCAGAACAGCAAATTAATAGGAATAATAATTTTTAAAAAATGCTAACACTCACAATGTTTGACTGAAACCTGATTCTCACCATTAAATGAGAGGAAGTTAAAAACAAACCACTCCTACTGGCCCCCGATATATGGCTGTACACTGAGATTAGTTTATTTTGGGTTTGGAGAGCCCAGGTGTTAGTTCAGATTGGATTATTTACAGAAAAAAAAGGTGTGCAGAGACTACATCTACTATCCGCATGGCTGCCGATCAACTTCTACAGCATTTAGGAAAGGATGAAGTGTCACCGACTTAGCTCCATATTGAGGAGGAAGATCTGGACTCATGATAGTTTGTGCATGTTTCTTTTTAAAGACAAGAAAAAAAACTTACTCTATAGTCCTAATCCTGAATAAAAAATAAAAAAAAGAAAAACAGATGTGTACTACATATCAGACTACTAAGTTAACATATAGACAGTACTAATGATAAAATGTAGAAAAGTGAAGAGTAAAAAAGGTTTTTTTTTAAGAATATGTTACAGGTAATGAAGGAAAACAATTGTAATGTGAAGTTGAAGGCTTCTTGGTATGAAGACAGAAGAAAAAACTGTTAAAAATGACAAGAGGAACTATTCTGTAGAGATGGTGACGGTTTTCAGCTTGGCTGACGGTCCTCACACCTCAGGGACGGAGTGGTCCATGGCAGATCGCAGCAGGCCGGTGGACATCCTGGACGGAAAACAAATAGTTTCCATCAGCTTGGAAATAGACAAGATGCAATCACATTTGTTTCATTTATCCAAGCTCGCTCCAATAATTAACTGATAGCATAATAATTATATTCAGCTTTTATTTATTGAGTTTGGTTGTTTTATTTTACTGAGGATACTCAAAATATCTTACAATTCCAGTGTTGAGTTCTTTATGTCTCAACAACAGTATAGGGTGATTGATCATCCAGAAAAATGTGTTATTGTGACCATTTATCAGAAATAAATGGTAGCTTCTGATGAACTGCCAAACTAAATTTTCAACATTGTTGCATGTTACCATTTCAGAGTAAAACATCACACAATAAAAAAATACATATAGTATAAAGTTAAATATCTGCACAATATCTGAGCCAAATAGAAAATTGTGATTCAATCTCGGTCAATTAAGGAACCGATTATGAATCTCGATCTTTTATATAACACACTGCTTAAATGACCACTCAGTAAATTAAAATTTGGGTTTTATGTCATTTTGTCCAAAAGAATGTTAGCATAAGAGAAATTCAACTATTACTGCAGAGAGTCTCAGTCTAACTATAAGTTTAAAGTCCCAGAAACATTGACAGCACACTTTTGCCAGTGAGATAATAGAAAACAATTAACATCTTAAGTTATACATGAGCAGACTGATTAAAATGAAGGATGGAGTTGGGCGTACCTCTTTATCATGTGTTCATAGATTAACTTGGGCATGACGGTGATGGTCATGGTAGTGGGGGAAGTGTTCAGAATGTCCTTAATCTGAGAGTCCTAGAAAATACACAAACATGTCAGCAATTAACTCCTATTGGAAAAACGTGCAGGAGGTAAAATTAGTACTTACACATACAAATATTCTAGAACATAATAACATGTGGATGTGTGCAATACAAATGTCAAAATATACTGTTGAAGAACATTTGGTTCTGATTACATTCAGTGTGAGTACATTAGTTTAACTCTGGTCGTCTTAAATTGTTATTTTGATAAAACATCTAAAGTTGTGTTGCTTTTAATCTTTTGACCTCAGTTATATAGTCACTGAAACTTAATTCTAAAAATGTCTGCATTTATTTTCTTGCAAACATAGCAGTATATGCAAGTGTTAGATTCTGTATCCTAAAGTTCTGGCTGTTAGCTAACCGGGTCATGACCCAAAACTGGTAACATTAGTTTAAGCAAAAAGATGTTGATCCTTTTTCCATTAAAACTTACTGTTTGTAACATTACATTTGGTGAGTTTGCATCAGCTTGCAAAAATGTAATAAGCAATCAGGATTCAACTTTTGGTATATTATTTTAAATAGTGGATATAGTGGAACCATGTTTACTGCATCATCTGTAAAAAGTGAAGGAAATGCAACTGAATCCAAATACGACGAGACAATAATTTCACCTTATCTTAACTTTTTCTTTGTCACAACTGTAACAATCCCAACCTGTATTGAATTTTTACAGACTCTAAGGAAATTTTATGAAACCGTGACCGATGGGCACAAAAGCAGTCAGACCTTGAGTCCGATGACATTCTGTCCGTTGATTTCACAGATGTAATGTTCGGTTAGCAGGCCGTTGCGAGCAGCAGAGCCATCTTTGACCAGGGAGGTGATTTTTCCAGACTTGTAGATGAAGCCCACATGTCCTGAGCTGTCTTTGTGCATGGTGATGGTGCGCTGAAAAGGTCTTGAAAAACAAAAAAATTCACAATCAGAGATTTACAATCAGACATTTACAATCAGACATTTACAAGGGTAAAGCTTCAGTTTTGATGTCCTGGATGTAAATTAAAATGTATGATTACTAGATCATGTAACATCAAAGAATAAAGTAATGACCTCAGTCCTTTATAGTGACTAAATGGGTGTTTCTGAATACTGATGAGCTAATTTTGACAGAATTTCCTCCAGAATAAAATAGAAATGACCGGAATTATAGTTTCATGTCATGTTTTATTCCCCAGCTCTTTGGGTCAATCAGTCCTCACCTGTCCCTGACCACCATCTCAATGCGGGTCTCCGCCGCAGCTTTAAGAGCCTTGTGGGCCTTATCTGTGCTCCAGCCAGCGCAGTTCTGTCCGTTGATCTGAAGAACCTGATCGCCGAAGCGCAGCCCAGCCAGGGCGGCAGGGGAGTTGGCCTGGACCAGCTGGACGAACAGCCCCTGTGACCCCAAACATTCAGTTAGAGAGAGGAGCAGAGGAAGAGAACGGCTCATTTTACAGTTTATACACAAACACACAATCAACCTTCAGGCCTGTTAGAGGGTGCTCTGTTAATTTAAGACAGTTTTACAGCGTATTGAAGTCAAAAAAAGTTTCAGCATCATGTTTTAACTAAATAACTTAAATGAGGCTGCTAAACTTTAATAAAGGTGCTGACTTCTCTCCAAATACCATTTCAATACTGATAGGGAGGGATCAGATGTCCATATCTAGCAATGTATTTTCTGCCCACTATCATGGCCATTTCCAAAAACGTCACCTTGTTAAAAATCAGTCTGTGCTAAATCATTTACATGCGGCAACGGCGCGGGCGAGACGATTGCTGACTCACGTTGTCGATGGCCCTCAGCCGGAGCCCGACCTTCCCATCCTGGTCCTTGCAGAGGATGATCTCTCGAAGGCCGGGACGGATCTCGGCCCTCCTGATGCCCATGTCTGTTCCCGTCACAGGGCGGACCATCGCCCCCACACCGGAGCTGGAGGGCAGCGCCACCTGCTGTGTTGGAGGAGGAAAGAAGAACAAGAAGGTTCAGAAAGAAAGAGAGGGAAGATGAAAGATTATGATTTAAAAAGAGCAATTCAGATCAGCTAATTTTGGGAAATTTACATTACTAAAAAGAAGACTAAATAAAATACTGTTTTCCAACCCATAATTTACCAACAAAGGAATAGGCTGACCTTTTTCATAGACTCAGCAGTCTACAATATTGAAGGATATGTGCCATTTAAACACACACACATTTATATTTAAATATATACACTTACATTACATACATACAGTTAAAACTAGATCATTACATTCACTGAATAAAAAGACAAACATTTTAAAAGAGTTGTCCCTCACACTGACCAAATGCATATAACGTCTTGAATTCGAGGAAATTTACAAAATAACTTCTAAAAACTGTTTGATGAGTTTTCTGGCAAATAGAATTAAGTTTGTTGATTCTAACTATGCTAAAACAAGAAAAATGTGGTCAGATTTAACTTCAAACGGTGAGAAAAATGTGTCTCACTGTTCAATGTATGTAAATATTTGATTTCAACTGTACGAGTACACAACACATGTACATCTGAATACCAGTATAAGCTTTTATCATTTTAAAGCTCATCAAAACAGCACATAATTTGAGATCATTCGATCCACTGCACATTTTGACACTGATAAATATTTCATTTGTATGTGGGAGGATTGTGTTTCATCTCCTCCTTCAGCAGGCAGAACAATTAAAAGTGTCTCATGAAGTTCTTTAGAAAGCTCACTTTTTCAGCTTTCAAATAGAAGATGAAAAATGTGAAGCATCAAGATAAGAGTTTGAATCAAACAGCTGAGAAGCTGACAGGCTGGGGGTGGAAGCACGCTGCTGGAGGAGCGTGAAGGGATCACAGTCTCCCACTCAGCTTCAGGCCTGCAGTGAGTCACTCTGCAGACTGGATCTCCTGCTCCTGCTGGGCTGAAACCAGAGCAGCAGTTTTCTATGTCTCCAATCCAGCCTGACCTCTTCTGGTTCTCTTTTTAAAGTGGCAGTTTTCCAGGCACGGAACGCTGTTTTATAGCTCAATCGAGTAACTACGTTGCCATCAGTTATGCCAGCAATGACAAATAAAACTTAAAAGAAATGTGACTTCGTAATTTAATGCCTTGAAATTAGGAATCTGTTTCTTTAAGAAACTCCGGCTCTTTCTGAAACTCCACCCTCATAAAGTCAACGCAACATCGCTTTTCTGTTAACCCTTTAACAATGTTTTTACCAGCGTTTCACTGAGAAGTATTTTCTATAATGAGCTCAGCATATGCACAGTTACACCAGGTGTAAGCTAATTGCTGCTGGCTAGTCTGAAGGAGCAGAGAGGGGGAGTCATGGAAGCTCCAAATCTGCAGCTCTGAGGAGCTTCGTCCTCGAAGGCAGCTCCACATCCATCCAAGCATTTTACACAGCTAAATGGTTGCCATGGCTATTGACAGATTTGTTGCAAACATGCATGTAAGAATCAAGACAGCATTTCAAGTGTGTTTTTAAAAGTCCATTTTACACAGCAGTTCCTCTTTAAAATAAAACTTAAGTCTGATGATAACGATGAAGCAAACAACCACTAAAATGCTTACATTGTCGGCTACAGGAACAAGAGCCAGGTTCCTCTGGACTTCATCGCTGTTGAGGGCCAGACCCATGTAATCTCCCAGCTCATCCAGATTAGGGTACAAACCTGAAAAAAAGAGAAGAAGATGCAACATGAAAAATAATGAGTGGGAGAAGACAGAAAGGTTGGTCCTCTGTTGGATAATAGCTTCCAGAAATTCAGTGAGGTCTTTGTTCAACTTTGAACAGATACAATCAGCCCTTCACTCACAGGTGTAAAAAACACCTGATAGAATATCAGATGATGGCAGTCATGTTTTACAACAGCAGTGTTCAGTTACAGATTGCTGCAATTAGCAGGTTTTTCCTGCTTGTGAAAACATGGACACATAACTGTGTGTTCTACAGTTACTCTTCTTCTTTGGTCTTTAAACAAATGTATAAATAGAAACAAAGCAATTAGATGATGCTAGTTATGATGACCTGCCAAGTATAAGCAAGGTCACAGAATCACCCTGACCAGCAGGATGGAGATTTAATAACAGGAAGTAGGAGTTATAGCGTGACTACTACTGGAACAAAATAAGACATCCAGCGATCTTAGAAAGTGAGCTATTATTGTTACACGTTAATGTGAAAAACTGGACTGATGTTGATATGCAATAGTAACACTGCTGTTATGTATGTTTTACTGTTTTATTCTATCTTTTTTTTATCCTATTACTCGATTAATCGTAAGAATAATTGATAGATTACAACAGCCCTAAAAAAAAAAAAAACTTTGTCTTTTTATCTCCTTCAAAATTTTAATAATTACAATAGTTTTCCTCCAGAATGTTGCGTGTACCAAAAGACTGCAGCAGTAAGTCTGTCTCTGTGCCTTAAGGAAGCATAATCTGGTTCCAGACCTTTGTCTGTCCTAAAAATGTCAAACAAACATGGTGGATAGAGAATCTGATTACTCTCTAATCAGCTGTTATACAAGGTTTTCAAAAGTACTAGTTTGACTGGCAGATTACTTCACTTGTAACAAGACATTTTCTCCTGCTGTGAGTGAAAAGAAATCTGCCAGAGGAACCAGCACTTCTTCATTAACATCAGAGAATTGTTTACTTAAAACAAGCTCCTGTATGTTGCTGAAAAGTTACCTGTAAGTTAGATTTGTCTTAGTTCAAGCGCAGTAAGATATTTGTACAAGAAACGAGGCCAGAAATACTTTGTAAAGCTGCCTTGGCAGTGTGGAAATTAATTTTGTAGAAGGAAATATCATGTATGTCCAATACACTAAGAATAGAGGCATTGAAGCATGGTGGCATGTCAGATCAGAAACCAAAACTTGACGAAAATCTTGCTTGGACAACAGCAGATCCACTGACATGTTCAGATTTAATGGGGCAAATCTTTAAACCTATTAATTTTAGATTAAAGTAATTTAAATTTAGCATATGCAGTTTACAATAATATTTAATGCAAGGAATATTTTTGTCAGTAATTCAACCCTGTTCATCTCCTTTTCATTTAACTATACTGCAGTTTTCCTCTTGAGCTCGCTAAATACCCGTGGGTTTCTCCTTCACCTCCCTTCGCCCTATCCTGGCACAACTGCCAGAGCCTGTCGCCATGGTGACTCGCAGCGAGCTCTGCTGAGGTGAAAACAAAAGAGAAAAAACCCACAGGACTTTGCATCCAAATACAGAGAGGAGTCTCTGAAGGGGTGGGAGAATGGGATGCAGGAAAAAGGAAGAAGATTAGCAAAGATTCCACTGTCGCTAATCTCTGTCTATCTTCAGCCCATTTCAGATGATTCTGGAGCACATCATGTGAGCCACTGACAGGATTTCACACAAAATAAGGTGGTTTACCACTAGACACAAGCACAGAAAAGAAGAGCAAGAAATAAAAACATTATAGGAATCCAGGTAACTCGGGGTGGTTCTGTTTTAAACGCTTCAGTACTCGCAATACGGCATGGGACTCACTGGATCCTGGCATCCCAGCAGTAACAGGCTGAGGCTGGTAGGTTCCCTCAGTGATGGCCGGCATGGGGGCGGTGCTCTGTGCAAACTGGGCCTGAGCCTAGAAAGCAATCAGACACAGCAGTCAAATGAAAGCTTAGTGAAGTAGATTCCATTCAGAACAGAAAAGGACAAAACAGAGACATGATGAAGGTCTGGGGAAAGATAAGGTGCAGGACAACACACTGCAGAGGGCAGGAATTATTACGTACCCGTTTGGTTTCAACTGTGCTAAACATAAATCTGAATAAGTATTCAGAATAAGTAACAGGGAAGCTAAACAAATGAGGGTCGAGTGAAGACTAAAGAGACACTCAAAAAGTGTCTGTTGACAAGAGTACGATGATTTTAGCTTCATCAGCCTTTACCAGTGATTATTTTTCAGAAACTCGCATATGAAACGCTAGCAAGTGCGACGCACAACAAGTGAAGAACATTGTGGATACAGAGTGAAGAACATTCAAAGGGACTAATTTGTTTAAAAAACAGGGAGGTGTGCGTCAGAGTTACTGTATAGAAGAAGAGATGAACTGTTCGAAATTTTTTAACATGGTAATATTTATGTCATTAATTCATTAAAATAAACAAAGTTTCGGGGCCTGGTTTATTTTACAAATTGATTTTCTTTTGGTCACTGGTGTTGTGAATGTATAAAGGGTTACATAAATAGATGATTGATTTATAAAGTTGCTCTGTTGTATTGTTGATTGTTTTAGAGAAACTATCATCAGACCATGCAAAATTCTCGTTATGATTTACTGCTGTATTAATGTTGCAAACAACATTAAACAATTCATGAATGTAGACAAATTATGACATCTCAGAAAAACATAAATGTTGTTCTTTTATCTTCTCGGATTCCAGCTTTTGCAGAGATATTAGAACTTGCTAAAACCTGATTTCCCCAAGAATCTTATCTTTACAACATTTTTCAGTCGGAAGAGCTGAGATCCAGTTAGCTCATTTCAAAAAGGCTGGTCTCCTTCACATACGCTCACATAGAATGGGTTACTATAAACAACAAATAATAACTTAACATCTCAGTGAATCAACATGCTATAAACAGAGACAAAGAAGCAATTTCTCTTACCTTGATGACCTTGTCGACCTTGAGGTCTTCCAGGGATGGATACAGAGACATTCTGAGAGAGAAAAAAAACAGCTGTGAGCAACAAGGTTTTACCTCAACTCCACGTTATCCATTAGCATTGAACTTAAGCTACATTACTGAATCAACAGGATCAAACTACTCTGCGAAGCTGAAATGCATTACTGGAAGGTCAATAAAATATTAAGACTTCAGCTGTAAAAGCCAAACACAGGCAGTTTTAAAGAAGACTGCCACCTTAACAAACAACAAATAGACATTTCATCCAAAATAATCTACTAACTGAAGCCTTATTTGAAATAGCGTGAAGGAAGCAGGAAAAAAGTGGACACTGAAGTACACTTTAAATTCCCTTAAAGTCTCCTGAAAGCACGGTTTAGCTCCAGCGTTATTAGCTTGGATATAAACATGACAGGAGCCTGAAGCAGTTTGAGGAAATGAAAGGAAATCAGCTGACTGAGGTTGAGCAATGGCTCAGCCCAGCTGGGCGAGGCTCTCAGGAAGATAACGACAGATACCGAACACAAGCGGCACGAAACCTCTCAAATGACTTCATTATCCACAAGCCTATTTCTGCTTCAGCAAAGGAAAAGAGCTGGAAAGGTCAAAATGCACCTTTGGATTTATTGCAGTGGTAGTAGCCGACGCTCTTTTATCCGCCTCTTATCAAGGTTCTGGAAGGAACTTTTCCAAAAGCAAACATTTATGTTGGGTTTTATTTGACCTGCACCAAACAAAGAACCACCATTTTTGTCCAACAAAGGGATGTGATGTATCACTGACATTCATCCATCCAATCGTCCACGGATCATGGCTTCTCTTGTCCGAATTGTCGGAATTCTTAGTTTTACTATTTTCTCTCATTTGTTCAATGAGAATATCAAATTAAATACAGAAAATGTCAACGAGAACTCATTTTTCCACCATAATTTGGTGCACACATTGGCCCCTCATAGTAGTGCACACCCACTTTTTGAACCAATTATTAACTACAGTTACTGTGTATAGTTCATTGATTCAAATAACTAGGATGCACCGATTTATTGGTGTTGATTTACTTCATTGTGGAAGATCAGTGATCAGCCGAATCTTTTGTCAAAGAAAATATATTACATTGTTGTGAGTGTAAGTTTGGTTATATTAATTTTAGAAACAGTTAACCTTTGTGCATATGAAATATTAGATGTAGCATGAATATTTTGAATAGATTTTAAGTTAGGTAGATTTGGATAAAGATTCAAACTGAAACAACTGCTGAATTTCTGAAGTTACATAAATGACTAAAGAGGGCCTTCAGAAAGGGAGTGTGTTGTACCAGCGGAAAGGTCAGAGGTTGACCTAGATGAGTCAAATTCTTTGGTGTTTGTTTAGGAGTTCAGTAAAACACTAAAAACTTTAAAACAATTTTTCTAGAAGTATGATCAAATGTATTAAGATATTTCTTTTAAGTATTAACAGCATGTTCTGAACTATACTAACTTGCATGCATCCTACATTACTAAAATAGAACAGGATTAGGAAACTAAAAAGTTTTAGAGGTAAAATATTTCAGGTATTCTAAAACAGTTTTTTCTAAAAGAAGATAATTCTGCAATTTTTAGATCCAAACTCACATCACTGACACAGATTTCTGTGTCAGTGTGTTTATAACAGGAATCAGTTTCTTGATGAATCGCTGAGGCAGAAAAACCACCAGGTCTAGCTGAAGCATAAATTTTGGTCTGAAATGTTTAAAGGAGGAGACTGGTACGGGAAGACCCTGTTTGAGAATGACCTTTGTTCTCTCCATATATTTGCTTTTGGGTTTGAACAGGTCTCAAAGAAGGTAATAAAATTAACTTTAAACAGCCCTACAAGGGGAGGACACACCTTCAAATGCAAATATTTAAATTAAGGGATTACATCTCCTTATAAAATGTCTGTTTTACAGCAGAAAAACAAATTGCTTTGTTTGCAGCCGTGAGAGCAATTCTCAAAAATAGATTCTTGTGTCTCTCCTATTGTGTTTTCCTTTCCAACTCGTTGCAGGTAATTGTGTGTTTTGTTATGTGTTTGGATTTCTTGATAATCTGGGTGTAATGCTGATGTAACATTCTATATGCATTGAATTCATTGAATAGAACTCCAGATATGTCTGAAGTTTGATGTTGAATGGTTGTACTCTGTACTTTCCACTGTGCATGCGGACTCCCTGGATCCGGGAGACTAGAGGAAAATTAACGAGCCAAGTAAATTTATTCCTCTAAGTTCAACACCATCAACAGAGGATCTGATCTCAAATTATGACTCTTGATCAAATCTGCTGTTAGATATTATTTATCTGAGACACACAGACACACTGCATTACAGAAGACCACAAAAGGTTTTTTGAAAACATCCTTAAGGCATGAACTGAGTTGTTAGTATTAGTTCACTGTGCATCACACTCGACATAGTCGGGTACAAAACTACCTAATTAGAAAATGAGCCTTTAATTTGTCCCCTCATCTTTCTCTAAAATGCTAAATGCAAAGGCGGTCAGAGGCTGCACAAAGATGGAAACAGAATGCGGCAGAGGAGCAAAATACGGAGAAATAAGGAGAAGTAGAACTTCCTGGATGTTGTTGTTAGGCTATGATCCATAAAGATCATAACCCAAATCTAATACCTGTTCTCAACTGTTTTGTCATCAGCTAAACCTCTCTGTAGATCATTAGCTAGGAAATTTGCAAACTGCTCTTCTGTGTTGTAACATAAACCCTTCATTGAGCTACTTATTCAAATCTGTTTTTTCTGGTGCAATCAAAATAAAACGTAGCTGGCTGCTGCCTCTTTCATAAAAAAAAATCTAAATATATGAGGAAGAAATAAAAAGCACAATATTTCATCCACTATTAATATTAAGGACAACTTTACAAGTCTTTCTAGTCAGTGTTCAAATTTGATATTGATTTCGGAATTTGATTTGATATCAGCCAGAGAATCCGTATCGAATTGTATTGGCACAGATGTCTAAACTTTTGATAGAAGCAGTCCGATCCAGCACTTAGTCTGCTCCAGAATTTCTATCCCGCATGCCTGACACAATAATAAATTTTACTAAGCAATATAAGCAATAAATCGTCCCAGAAGTTGGTTAGATAAAGGATAATGTAGTTATTGTAGATAATGTTGTTTTGAAGTCCTTTCCAAGTAGCATAATGGTAATGGCATAATAACGCAGGAACACAATCTCCAACATCTATAAATTTTGAATTCTAATGAACATTAAACACTGCAAAACATTTTAAATATCAAAAATAAGTCAACAAAACAACAAACAAAATTAATTATGAAATCTCTGTAAACAAAACTGGTCTAGTTGAGCCCAAAGCATCACTGAAAACTTTCATCATCCAATTTTTGAAAAAAAAGAGAGACAGAATAGACACTAAATTATGCAAATGGAAATAATTGAGCTTGTTTTAATTTATTATGTATTTAATTGATTTATTGTGACAGGCCTATCCAGCAGTACTTGTATCCCTCAAACAGATCCACTGATTAATAATAAATAGGTCAGTTGTTTACAACTGACCTATTTGAAAACACCCATCGTCACCCACAGTTCTCTGAGTTATATTAATTTATAAAGCCTTTCCTATCATCCCACACTACAAAGTGAGTAATAAAAGTATATGACCCATGTTAATACTGAATTGGATCAAAATTGGTATCAGCCAATAATAATCAAAACTACAATATTTGCATCATATTGGAAGTGAAAAAGCTGTATCGGGACATTCCTAATAACGATTAAAAGGAGAAGTTCTTGTTATTAAATATGCTAAAAATATTCTTCAGGATATAAATCAAAATGCAGACATGTCAGTAGTTACAGATATAGGAGTTCAGTCCATTACACAACAATGTGCGTCAGTCACAAGACGTGTGGACAGTTCACTTCCTCATTGCAAAACAGAAAAACACCAATAGGTGTGACTGAATGATATCAAAATTACTAATACTAATAACAGAATTAAAGTCGACCATGAAACGGCTTTGATTTCCTCTGAATTACCAGAGAAAGCTAAAACACCACACTGAATCTATACAGACACTTCCCACATAAATGCACCTTCTCAAATACCAAATGTTCAATATTCCCACACTGCTGATTCATGTTTATATAACCACAGTCAATGTGCACAGAGACCTGCTCTGACAGACATGTCAAATCTGCAAAGAGCCTCCAAAACAAGCAAATAAGCCAGCCACAATCGCATCACTGAGACACCTCAGTCCTCCAGCTTTACTCCGGCCACTACTCTATTCTCTTCTCCGCACTCCTCACACACACAAGCCCATCATTGTGTTGGCGCACAAAGAAGGCCATTTTAAATATCTTCTGCTGTTTACTTTTCAGCGGTGCGTTTGCTTGCTTTGTGTTCTTCTCTTGGACCGACCTGCAGACTCGATGTGAATGGGACTGGAGAGAAAATGGGAGTTTGAGCAACTCCTGACGACAACCTTGTCCTAGCAATGGCAGTGGAAGCTAGTCGTCAACATCATTTATTGCAAGATTTGTAAGATGAAACAGAAGCACATCAAGTCACAACTGGCAATTATTTTAAAGTTTCAAGTAAAATCTTTCTTTTCAAGAAGTCACTTCAAATAAATCTCGACTCCATGTTTAATGGCTGGGAATTGTTTTTATCTCAAAAGGCCAAATGATACCTGAATTACAACTCCCAAAACCCAGAAGAGTTTAAAAGGACCAAAGAGCATGGAGAGAGAGCGAGAAGCAAAAGCAAAGGAGGAGAGTTAGCAGAGCTGCTAACAACTGATGGTGTCAAACAGGACATTTTACTGTATTGTTTCTGCAGCCTGGATGTTGAGCCTTTAGTATGTCAGGTGTAACCATCATGACGCTGTCAAACAGCAACGGTGTCTTCAGTCAGAAGTTTCTTCAGATTTGTTGCGAGACTAACTGCTACAAGGATCACCATCCACAACAACTCTGAAGATATGTGAATGGCAGGAGTTACGACAACATTTAATTTCCCAAACACCGACAGCCATACCAACCCTCCACACCATCCCCATGATGACACCAGTCACCAGAAGAGGGTGGAAGGAAGAAAATAGATTCCCATTGCTGGAAAGACAGAAGTTGTTCAGGAAAGTTGATTTATTTTTATTCTTCTGCCTCCTGTGATGTCATCAGCCTAAATGAACACAGAGCAGAGTTAGCCTGGTCGTTTTATGTTTCTTCTTTTCCAATACCGTTTTTTTATTTATTTTTTAATCATGTTGTGGAAATCAATACTTTGTATTCTCATCTTTAGTATATTTCATCTTCCTCTATGTAACGAGGTCAGAGAAATGAATGCAAACAGTAACTCAAGCAGAAATACTCAGGGAAAATAAGCAAACTCAGTCACTTTCCACTTGCAGTTTGTGACAACAGCTATGAAAAGCAGGCGGAAGCTGGACAGCCAACTTCAGGAGGCCTGAACGAATCGGTTGGATCCAGGAATGTGGTGTTTTTGGCAGCTTATTCCACTGACATGGCTGGGAAAGCAAAAAGAGGAAGGGAGAGAGCGACTGACGCGAAAATATGAACTGACCCACACCCTGAACACTGTAGCTGCTCAATATGTCTTCCATTACATCAAGTGCAGGCAAATAAACCAAACTCACGGACAAGGCAGCCGCTGGATTTATTCCTATAGGTGACGTAAAAGAGGGGGGGTTAGAAACTATACATGCTGTGTGAGGTGATCTCGTCTAGATGTAAAAACTAATAATCGTAACAATATTAGTTTAGATTGTTTTCCAACCTGAACAACTTTATTAGGGAACTCAGGTATTTGAGACACAAAACCTCGCCGATCAACGTGAGCTAGCCTTACTGCATAATCATTAAAAATTAACAAGCCTGGCTGGTTTTAAAAGACTTCTGTTTACCACTTCAAGACCGGGTCGGGAAAAAAAAGAGCCGACAAAAGTAAAAGCACCGTGTGTGGGGAATCTGACGGCAGACAGAAGTCGCGGAGCCGCGAAGCAGACCGTCTTTGTTCCGACATAAACAGCGGAGGAGGCGGAGGGGAGCTAGCCGAGACGGTGTTAGCTTGGAGGGGGAAACGAAACCCTTCACCGGCCAGGAAGGGCTCGCCAAACAACAGCCTCACCTGTTCAGTGTCTGTGCGGATATCAACTCGAACCAACAGGACTCCCGGAGACTAGCGCTCTCCCTTTATTTGGCTGCGTCTTCGTCGCTTGTCTGAAACCTGAAGGGGACTTCTGGAAAGTGATGTCACTGCTGGCTTCCTGCTCCGATCCACGTCAATCAGCGTTGACGCCGAAAGCCACGCCCCCCACCGGTCACATGAGTCATGACTCACCCTTACCTTTTTTTTTTTTTTTTTTTTTTTTCGCTTTTTATCGACATAAAGAATCTGGACGGTACATTATAAAATAGCTTTGACTCCAATGACAAGGAAGCTGTGGGAAAACATTCAATTTTTGCATCTTCTTTAAATGTATTTACGGAACTAATCAGTCTGGATTCTGTTCACACTGATTACTGTCTTGCATGGATCACATTTTTTTTTTCAATAAAGATTCGGAAGGAAAAAAATCAGATCTGCTAACCAATAAGATTTGTACTGGAAAATTGATAACAGGGTTCTCTGTCAGCAAGCACACTTCTGTATATATTTAATAATGATAATAATAAAAGATTCCTGCAATAATGCTTAAATGTTCTGCATTGACCCAATGTATACCTCGCTCTAAGGAAATCACCGATATTTTCTGGAACTGTCCTTAAACTGATCTTCTGATGTTATTTTGGAAAGACACAATACATACAATATATCTTCATATCCACTTTAGATTACTGTAAAAAAGATCACTATTATTGCAATTCACCTTTACAGGCCTATGAGTTTTTATGTAAAAAAAAAAACCCAATATTTTCAAAAACATGCAATTACTGAAATAAATACATAAGTAAAATCTTTGGAGGTCCTATGCTGAAGACCAAAACACATTGTAATGAATTTAAAATGTAACCTCAAAGCTATTATTTTTTATTTTTAATATGTACTACTTGTATTTTTCTATTCTCATGCCTGCCTTGCTGTTGGAATAATTTGTCGTACATGTTCTGCAGAAATAAAGGTGAAAATTAAATGAAATACAAAACAGATCAACATATTTTTAATTTTGTCAGGGGACTGTAGTTCTTAAAATGTCATTATAAAAATGGAAAATTACTATCTAAATTATCCAGGTTTCTTATAAGAACAATAAGAACAATACTACATTACATTCAATTTAAAAGCTAACAAAAAAAATCTAATTTCTTTCTAATTTGGCTCAAAAACACTTTATTTGTCCCAAAAGCATATTAAATGTTGTCACAACTCATATAATCCACATAATCATCAAAAGGGTAATTGTGGATGGTGAAGATGTGGCCATAAAGCATCTGCAAGGTTGAGAGATGCTGGTGTTGCTCATTCTGATTGATTGAAAAAGTAGTTTAAACTTCCTCCTTCTGTCTCTTCTCATTGGGATTTGGTGTCCTAGATCAGGAATTATTGTTTGAATTTTTGAGATTATAATCAGCTGCTTCCAGACAGAAAAGAAACCTTCTTGTTATGGTTATGGTTATGGTTATGCAAAAAAAGTACAAAAATAAAACAAAAAAATATTATATAGTTGTCCAAACAAAATTGTGCAACTACACAATTTTATAGTGTATTGAAGACAAATTTTCACTTTGTCTTCCAATTCATAATTTAGTAAAAAGTTTACTTGCTTATTTCATTATTAGGTCCGTCTCATTTCATACAGAAAGTGTTATGTATGGTTTAAAATATTATTGGATAACAAGTAAAAAAAACAAGAGTAATCAATTCGGTTAAGCTGATTTATGTTGAATCATCAGCCATTTTCGTTGTCTTTCTTTGTGAAAAAATAAGAAATCAAGTAACAATGAAATGAACACTGCACGCAGTTGGAGGGTATTTTGTTTTATTTTAAATACATCATTGGTTTAGCCTGCACACAGTAACATCTCAGCACGTAAAACTACACAGTACAGACGGTCTGCCGCTTGCAGCACAGCAAGCAGGTAACACGGACAGCCGCGGTCAGTGTCAGAGAGCCAGGCCAGCGCAAGTCATTCATTTAGACTCCATTTAAAACTAGTTCAGGTAAAAAAAAATCACTTGGATGATGTTGGCTTTTTTTTTCTTCTTCAGGGCATACCTCCACTCCAACATCCGCCGGGACGAAGTGGCGTGTTACTAAGAGAAACTCGAAAAGGACAGTTTCTGTATTTTCTCAGAGAGAGACACTTGGCATCAAAGAAAATGCATAATTCAAGTTATTATACAAAGTGTCAAGAGTTAAAATCCCTGCCCAGCTTTTGGAAGTTTCAAGCATCTCAGACTAATTTCAGTTCTGATTATTCCTGTGCATCGGCACAATCCTCCTTGTGCAGTGTTTAGGTATGGCTTCAAATGGAGTTTGAAGAGGAAGGAAGGATGCAAAGTGAATGCCATCAAATTTTTAGGATGCACACAGGGCAAGGTAGTAACCATATTTAGGCACACGAGAAGTATCTAGAACTAACCCTGGTTTATCCTTCCCACCAATTACTCTTCTCACTCTTCTTTAACAGAAATACTAACATAAGGTTTTTGTTTCTGCAGAAATCTCAGTCTTAAGACCTTTTATTAGAACTCAGGCAAAACTAATACGATTCAACCCTTTAAAATCATAAATGTGTGCTCAGTTTTCTGTCTAATATAATACAAAAAGCTGCAGAATTTTATAATACCAGAACACACTGACTCATAAAAGCTGAACCTTGCTGCTTTGTGATTCAATGGCATATCATGTATGCAGTTCACTGTGTTTACACACAAACAGAACGCTCAGAAATAAAACAAATAAAAAAGACACTTTCTTAAAAAAAAAGTAACAATTCAAGACTAAAAAAAATGTAGGATCGAAAAGAGATGTTTCAAAATGGAGGACGAGAAACAAAAACTACCAAAAACAAACAGTTTGATGAAAACATTGAATTGAAAGAATCGTGCGCAGACTTTCCAAGCTTCTCTTCGGGTCGCCCAGGTGCAACGTCAACTGTGAGGATGACAAAAAGGAGAATTATTTTTACAAAAAAATAAAAAAAATTGAAAACTGATTTATACAAAATAAAGAGAATTAAATAAAAACATGCAAATCAGTTAATATTAATTAGTTTTTTCTAGGTTTCATTAATTATCATTAGTTAAATATAATTTATTGTCAGTTTAGCTTTTTTAGTTTTTTCACCCTTGGTTTAAGTTTAAGGTGGAGGTCAAAGTGTCGTATTGTGATTGTTTATATGTCGATTGCGTGAGAAATACACAAGAGAAGATATCATTTTCAAGAAATGTATTCAGTTATTATGGAACCACAAACTGACTGGTGTTTTCTCACAACTTTTGTTCCTAACATTTTGCAGACCAGCCTGGGTGCCACCAGGAGGAGTACGGAGTGCCGTAATGTACCGACGGCAGACGAGAACTGTTTGTGTGACGGGACGGGAAAAACATCAATTTCACATCAGATCAAAACCCTAGTAAATAGATTCATAAACACGTGTTTACCGTTCTTATTTCATTGAACGAAAATCTCTGATCGCACCTAGATCAGAGTGGCATCATGTGTGGTGATTTCCTGTAAAACAACTTACGCAACAAACAGGCGGCGGTTCGCCTTCACTCCAAACTGAGCAGCTCCACGTCAAAGATGAGCGTGGCGTTTGGGGGGATGATGCCCGGGTGGCCCTTGTTTCCGTAAGCGTAGTCCGGCGAGCAGGTCAGCTTGGCCCTCTGACCCACACTCATCTGGAGAGAGCAGGAGGAGGCAAACAGAGAGGAGAGATAATGGGTTTACAGAGCTGCTCATAATGCAACTGAAGGGAGATAATATCGCGCAGGAGACATGGCGGAGAGGGGAGCATCTAAATTTGTTAATGATGTTTCACTTTTACTACATCAGTTCCCTTGTTATCACTCTCAGCAGTTCATGCAGCAGCAATCAACATCCCAGAGGGACAAAAAATAAAAATAAAAAAATCAAGCCTTTTTCAGTTAACAGAGAGTGTAGCTTATGAAACGTTTCTGAACAAACACTAATAACTTCACCTATTTCAAGAGCTACATGTTATCAACAGGAACCAAACACAACCTTTCATGTGGTTCCTAATGCAGTGTGTATAAAAAATAAAAATAAAACATTCACCCACTTGCATATCTCATCCTTTTTTCAGTTTGTTGAATTCACAAATAAACCTTAATCAACTGAATTTGGTGTTTTTTGAGAAGAAAAAAGAAAATCCCTTTGATGTCAAAGTGGAAAGAGATTTCTAAAAAATAATGACAATTAGATACAATATTTAGTATTGAATAGGTGATTCTAGATTCCTCAGAAGAAAGTCATTTGAATTGTAGCTGTCTGCGCCTATTCTCATCCAACTAATGAAGTACTTCTTACATTGCTTTAAAATTGTATGATTTGGTAGAGCTCACAACAGCATTGACTCTGTACAAAGCCTATAATCAGCTCCTTCTAGAAGTCATTTGAAATTAAATAAAAATTATGAATAAAGGAGAAGGATTTCATTAAAAAATAAAAAGGCCAGGGTGAATATTAAGAACAATTGTGCTTAGTTAGACATGTAGAATTGCTTTCACTCTGTCAACATTTTTGTTCATATAAAATGTATTTGCTAAACAGATAAAATAAGGTTTGGTTATGTTTTCTCTTATGAGTTTGTTTCCAGACTTATCTGAAACTCCTTGGAGATATATTTTAGAAAATTCCTCTTTAGAAAGATTCTGCTGTTGTGATTTTGAGGAAGAAAAAAAATACATACTGCAGCTTTAAAGGTTGAGTTTTTCCAAAGGTTTTCTGTTTCAGTCCAAGTTGTTGTTTTCCAACGACTCCCAAAAGTAATTTAGTTCTCGTTACATGCTGTTTAATAATACTGTCATTAACACCCTTCAGCCTACCTGCCCCACGCCTTCCTCCCACCCTCGGATCACTTCCTGTTTGCCGAGCTTGAACCGGAAAGGTTTATCCCTGTCACGGGATGAGTCGAACTTCCGTCCATCCGTGAGGGAGCCTTCGGGAAGAGCAGAGAGGAACAGTTGATTCATCACCACATTGCTGCATCATAATAATTTTAAACTTCTTCTAAAAGAGAAGGAGTAAACAGTGATCCAGAACCTGACCCCTTTAATTGAAGTACATCTTTCCATTGTTGCCATTCCGACTCAAAGTTT